ATGTTCAGCAACTCTAGGGGCAGCAGGAGCTCAGGAGGTAGAGTCACAGTGGTCATCTGATGACCGGAATGTTGGCGGCTCAATTCCCCCCTTTCCCGAGTCTGTCCGTTGTGTCCTTGGGCAAGACACTTAACCCACCTTGCTCCCAGTGTGTGTCCTCCACTGGTGTATGATTGAGACTGGCAGCCACGTTTCTGTCAGTCTGCCCCAGGGCAGCTGTGACTACGAAGGTAGTTTACCATCACCAGGGTGTGACTGTGTGAATGAATGAATGATGTATCCAATGTAAAGCGCTTTGAGGGTCTCTGATCAAGGGCTATATGAAATCTGATGCATTGTTAGTATTTATTATAACTCATTTAAACCCTTGTTTGATTAAACTTAGCACTGAGACATGTGGAATCCTGAAACCAAACTTTTTGATTCCAAATGCATAATTTTAGATATGATACCAACAACACAACTCAAAACAGTTACCATTGTGTTGCATTATCTTTTTTTCTGAACAACACAATCTGGATTTGTGGATGCAGCAGCAAACTGTGTTCACATGGGATAGTTATTAGATGTTAGATTGAGATGTGATTGAGATAATTCTCTTTCTTTTTCCGAGCATTGCAAAACTTTGTCTGCTTTCAATTGTCTCCATTCCAACTGTTTTGAAACAAGTTGCTGGCATGAATGAGCTTGTTTTCTCTGGAACAATCACATTTTTTTTTTCCACTTTCAGAAATCAATACTCTTTGTGCAACTTAAAATCCAATACAGGGTTGTTAAGCTAATTGGCAAAACATCAATGAAATTCTGCATTGTCAAATTTTTACACAGCATAGCAACTCTTTAGGTCCTTACACAACATGGCTGACACGAATATAGAACGCGAAATTACGAAATACTCAGAGGAGAATTTTGACGCGCCTGACTATACACAGGGCTCTCAAGTTTTGAACTAAGCTCAGAGTGAGATTTCCTTGCGTGAGAAATACAATGTGTGGCGTGTGAACGAGTGGGAGTGTGAGACTTGAGAGCCCTGGAGAATACCAGCGCTAAGCTAACAGCACACAGCCAGTTAGCCTTTTCAGAGGGACTAGCTTCAAACAAAGTAGGACTTTAGGTGCCAGCTTGCTAACTGATTAGCATTCACGACACGAACAGCTAGCGAAGAAGCAGCTACAGAGAATACCAGTCATAAGCTAACAGCAACACCACTGGTTAGCATTTGCAGAGGGATTAGCTTCAAACAAAGTAAGACTTTAGGTTCTAGCTTGCTAACTGATTAGCATTCCTGACACAAACAGCTACCAAAAGAGGCAGAGAAGCAGCTACAGAGAATGCCAGCGCTAAGCTAACAGCAACACTGCTAGTTAGCATTTTCAGGAGGGATTAGCTTCAAACTAATTAAGAATTCAGGTGCCAGCTCAGAGCTAAGGAGCGTGCTAACATAGCATAAAGGACGCTGAAATACACTACGAACCATGTTTTAGTTCAGCATGTAATTTTTGTAATAATGTAATTTTTCTCCAAGAAAATCCTGAAAATCGCTCAGACTCAGACCTTTTTAACTCGCTGTTGTGGCCACATTTTTCAGAGTACAGACATGAAAAACACATCATTGTGTTCATGAAGGGCGGAGGATTCATACAATGTTCCTATTTTCATTCTGAGATTTAAGGAAATCATGCTATGGGAAGAAGTTCAGAGGCCCTAAATTCGATGGAGTTAGGCAGCTTCTCATTCAAACAGTAGGTCAGTTAATGCCTTTGATGTCTGACACCTGTTAAGATGCATTAATTAAAACACACATGCACACACACACCTTCTTGTACTTGCTGCTTTGTGAGGTCTATGAGAAAAGACCCACAAAGCGGGGACTACAAACTTTGACCTGCAGAAACCATTCAGGGCTCCAAAAATTCAGCTTATTGAGGACATTATGGGGTGTACTCAGGATTTTCATTCATTTAACTTTTCAAATTTAAATTTTTCTCATTATTCATGCATTATTAGATTCTTCAGACAAATCCAAACTCATTCAAACTGATTCAAACCTTTCTGATACTTCAAACCTGTTTAACACTTTAGGACTTCTAATTATTTAAAAATCTTCCCACTTCAAAATCATTCTCATTATTTATGTATGTTTTAATTTCTTCAAACTTTTTTTTTTAACTTCTACTCTTACTTCTTCCACGAGCTCTACTGCTTTGACTTCTACTTCTTATATTCTAAAACTACTTCTACTGCTTACATGGCTACTAATATCACTACTACAACTACCTATTATCATACTACTTCTAGTACTACAACTTAAACATATGCCACTTCTCACTTTTCTGTGTTTAAAGGTAATTTTCTTCTTTATCCAATTTTTTTTTTGCAATTTCAGACAGTTTTTCTAGCCTTATTCAGCATGAATGCAATTTTAATTTATGAAGCACATTCATACTATTTGTACTTCAGCAATTTTCACTTTCATCCAACTTCTACCTCTCTTTCTCCAGCCCTTAAACCAATTTTACATTTAAACCTTCCTCCATTTTTTTAGCAGTTTTGCATTGCTTTTTCAGCTTTCAGCACTCAGCATTTCCACGCATTTTCTGCAAGGAAATGCAATTTTTCTAGTATTACTATTGGTGGCTAGGCTAACAGAAATGCAACTTGTTAGCAATAGACCCTGTAAACCAAGGGAGCTAGCTTGGAAATAATGCAAAGCTGCCAAGCATCACGCAATTAGACCCATTCTTACGCCACACTTGACATTTCTCACCCTTATATTTCCCCATTCCATCCATCCATCCATTTTCTACCGCTTATTCCTGTTCCCGGGGTCGCACGGGGGCTGAAGCCTATCCCTGCATCTTCTGGCAAAAGCAGGGGACACCCTGGACAAGTCGCCAGTTCATAAACCAATCAGAAGCAATGTAAGGCAGGTCTTGGAGTCTCTAACTATCTTTTACACGCAACAGCGCTGACATTTAAAACCTACTTTGTCATTTCTAATTTCTGGTTAATTAAGACAAGCATTAGGAGGCCACAGTGCAAGGAGAGCAGCTGGCGTGGAGGTGAGGACATCAGTCTTACGTCACGGTAGAAATCGACATTAAAAAAGGCTATTTTTTTTCAGCAGCTGTTAGGATGCCTAGCCCAGGTTCACACTTGAAAGAATGGAAGGTCCACATGAATGGTCAGCTTGACAAACTTTACTGGTTGCAGATCTCGGTTACAGCTTCATCATGCCACAAGTGTAACAAAGATTGGTCTGAGACTGTTCAGATATATATAGCTGTCCACGTCTCCAAGCATTCTGCTGGCATCTAGTTGACCTGAAGAAGAGTCCATGTAGGGTAAGAGCAAAGGACAACGCATATTACGAACCCTTGGTTGAACATATGGAGAACACCATAGCATTACGTATTTTGGGAACCTGAGTGATGTCAAAAATGTGTGCAAGGTTTTTGTTAAGAATGGTTGTCGGAGGTTGTCATGATCCGAAAAAATAAATGCTGCAATATCGCAGGACGGGAGAACGTCGCTGATGTAAACGCTTGTTGGAAAAAAATATTGACATGCGAAATAATCACACATAAAAAACGTTGCTGGTATGAAAGGACCTTTAAGGAATTCTGTTTGTGCATGCTGTACACAAAAGTGTTTAGACGTTTATTTACATTAACACACGTTATTAAAATGTTTTCATAATGATTGCAAAAGCAGGGCACTGTCATCTTGTGCAAGGAGTGTCACACAACCCTTCTGCTCTTATGACACTCCCTCTGCATCCAGCAACACACTGGTGTCTGTGTATGTACTGTGCCTTTAAATGGTAGGCGTGGCTTCCCTACTACGACCTGCCTTTTATGCATAATAGCCAACTCTCCTTCCCTCGGATCATATAGTGCAGTAGTCGGCAAAGAAAAGCTTGTACAGCCCTGTGAGTGGTGGGACTGCGACCAAACGGAGTCGGTTACCTTTAGTGACTGTTTACAACCTGGAAAAAGACACCAAGCGGATCAGCGGGATTATAAGGAATCGTTTTGGCTGCCGTTTTGGACACTTCAGTGCGCACGGCGGATCTATGAGGACGCAGGAGGGTTTTTCACACTCAACACCAGGTAAAACTCTTCATTTACTGAACCGCAACTTCCCTTACTGATGATGTGAGCTTGAAGTGCAAGAATGAATATATCAGGATGAAATTACCCGGTTTAAGTTTGGGTTATTGTTGCTTTTTCTCCCCCTTACGCATCTGCTTCCTAATTAAGTGATCGGCGCTTTTTAGTCGCAGCTGAATTCTCTGAGCTTGATAGGGAGTTGAACCGAGGAGGAGTCAGATAAACTACTTTACATACGGCTACCCCTGAACAGGCTGCTGCGCTGGTACCTGTCTATCCAATTAATCTATTTCAGTCTAATTGAATTGCTCTTGCCTATTTCCTGCCGTTGCAGTCAGCAGAAAACAGAAAGCCTCCCTCTGCTCTTCCCCTTCTTTTCTCTCTCTGCCACAGTATACTACCGAATCAGTTATGTAATAAAACACTGTTGCGAAACTTGAACTTCCCAGCAGCAACACAGAGGAGTTTCACTTTGCGGAATATCAACATAGGATGCTTGAATGTCTGCCTATACCGAATCTCCAAGTCTGTTTCGTGGCGTTACTTGAATACCTGACAGGGGTTCAGTTGTTGTCTTGTGTGGCACATCGTGTCCTGATGCAGGTACTTTTTCTCTTACATCTCCGTGGATGTTTTTTCTTCTAAAAAAGTGGGGCAATATTCCGCTGTAGCCAACAATAAATCAACCCAGTGTGATGCATCCAAAATAGCTGCATTATACACGGACACAGAATAAGCCCTTTTCCCCCCAGAGGGCAACATGTCTGCGGACAGGGGTGTGATTATTTTGATGAGAATAAGGCTCAGTTCTCCAACAACTGTGTGCTCTCTCTCCCTGCAGACAGAGGGAACAGGGAGTGATTCACCCCCCTGCCTGCAGCAGCCCCCATGCCGGGCATTAGCTCCTCCGCTCCTCGTTATGAAAACTGGACCATGGACCACCTCGACCACTACCAACATTATTTCTACGACGACCACCACGACCCGGATGAGGATTTCTTCAAGTCCACAGCGCCGAGTGAGGACATATGGAAGAAATTCGAGCTGGTGCCGACCCCGCCCATGTCGCCAATTCGGGCGGTGGAGGGGTCGGGCAGGGTCGGGCTGCTGTACCCGTCTCTGGGGGACAAGCTGGAGTGGGTGTCTCAGTTCTTGGGACAGGAGGATGAGCAGCAGCAGCAGCAGGACTTGCCCTGCAAACTGACCACAACTAATGACTCTTTCGGGAACTTGAGCTCGATTATCATCCAGGACTGCATGTGGAGCTGCTTCTCTGCAGGGCAGCAGCTGGAGAGAGTTGTAGGGGAGCGCTGCGCATCGTGTCCCGGGACGGGGGCGGCGGCGGCGGCGGCAAAAGTCGCTGCCGGATCTGCTCTCACATCTCCGGGGAGAGTGCAGGGTGCCTCAGCCGACGCGGCGGCTCTCAGCGGACTGGCGGCGGACTGCGTGGATCCGGCTGCGGTTCTCACTTTCCCATTAAACGGGGGATGCAAGAAACAAGTTTCCTCTGGTTCAGAGTCTCACACCGACTCATCAGGTCAGTAACAGAAGGAGCAATTCCTACAACATAGTTTTTTTTTATTATTTGGATTGACTTGGAGCTTCTCAGTGATGGAGTGTAAAAAACTGTATGATAGTTTCATCTTGTTTCTTCAGCCCTTAGTGGTACCTTCTTGCTCCTAAACATTATTTTTATCAGGAACTTTTTTTTCCCAAGGTGTCTTAAGATTAACTCGACCTGTACTGAAATGATCCATTAACTTATTTGGTTAATATTTTGCTTTGATTAGCCATTATCTGCAAGTAAGGCTGAGAATGGCACATGATGACTGCATTGCGTTACCTTGGTGCATGCAACACATGCTTGAAGCCCAGAGTGCGGCACGCCCATTGAAACATCTGCTGCCTGGCAGGGCTCCAGCAGACCAGCTGCTCCCTCTGCCTGCTCCTCCAGTCTGACTTAAGATAACAATATTCTCTCTGCACCGCCTGGCTCAGATTTGACAAGAATAAAATGAGAGAGGGCGACTCGTAATTGTTGGAACTTTTTATGTAAGATGAAGAGAAGGAAAACCAACACTCTCGATTTAGATTTTATGGAGCAAGAATTCCCCCCTGACACCAGAACCACTTTTTTCCATTTTCACAACCAAATGACAGAAACTGGTATGTAGGCTGCCATGTGATGCGGAGCTTGGACCATGTATAATAGTGTGTGGAATGTCACAAAGGGAACTTGTTGCTGCATTCCTCCGCTCAACAGGCTGCAGCGCCAATTGTGTCAGTGGGTGGATTTGGTTGGAGCCAGCTCGGGCTGTGAATAGAGCAGGATTAGCCATTTAGGAGGTCAGCTAGGCCTGCAGAACTCTTTGACTGGAGTTTGAGGCTGTATTTCACACCGTTACAGAAGATAATGCGTTTAAACAAGAGGAGAATGAGCAATCATGGGAATAAATGTAATAAGGGTGCTTGAGGGAACTTATCTTGTATTCTTTGTAATGTGAGAAGTCATCTTTTGTCGTATAAATGTTGCTGTCAATAATAGTCAGGCGCCCCTCCCTCTACAGCTCTTTGTGCATCCCCCTTTCACAGTGTTATCCATATGAGATTACTGCTTTCTGAGCAGTCAAATACTCAGAGGTGCAATTACTTCGAAGGTGTGTTTCAATTTACAAGAGCAGTGAAAATCCTCCAGGTCTAGTGAGTTGGCAGGAATCAAGTCGATAAAACCTTTCCCGGTGTTCAATACCTCTTTTCCACTCTAGAAAACAGTAACAAATGGCTCCAAATGAGCACCGAGTTGAATATCAGTTGGCTCATTTTAACCTGGTGATGAATTGCTGATTTTGCTGCTCTTCAACTAGCTCTCATTCTTTTGATCCTCGTGGGTAAAGAGAGAAGGAAGTGAACCGAGAGTAGTGAATCCTGACTGTGAGAGCATGTGTCATGTAAGGTGTGAAAGCAGTCGGATGTATTAATTTAATCAGACAATTTACTGTCTTTTCCTTTTGGTGTTCCAGATGAAGAAGATGACAAAGATGAGGATGAAGAGGAGATTGATGTGGTGACGGTGGAGCACAAGCAGCAGCAACAGCGTAAACCTCGCCGTCTGGTCAATACTCGTAAACCAGTGACCATCACGGTTCGTGCTGATCCCCTGGACCCTGGCATGAAGCGTTTCCACATCTCCATCCACCAACAGCAACACAACTATGCTGCACCCTCCCCAGACACAGTCCCGCCACCACCTGAGCCTCCTCGGAAGAAGGTGCGACAGGAGGCCTCAGGCCAGGCCTCTCAGCCGCACCAGAACTCTCACTACCAGCAGCCTCGGGCTGGCCACGCCCCCCTGAACTTAGACACCAGAAAGTATCATGTGAGCCAGAATGGAGTCAGGTCAGAGTCGCCTAACCTCAGCGCCTCCTCTCCTACCTCTTCCACATCACCTTCGTCTCCTCCATCCTCCTCATCTTCCTCAAACTCCCACCCTCAGAGCTCCCCCACAAAGCCCCATTACTGCTCCCACCTCTCTAGCCCCCAGTCGTCTGACTGCGAGGACACGGACAAACGCAAGGCGCACAATTTCTTAGAGCGCAAGCGGAGGAATGACCTGCGCTCGCGTTTCCTGTCGCTGCGGGACGAGATCCCAGGCTTAGCAGACTGCCCCAAGACACCAAAGGTGGCAATCCTGACAAGAGCCACAGAATACCTGCAGCAGCTGCACGTCAGCGAGAGGCAGAAGGCTCAGGAGAGGAAGCAGCTGAAAACCAAGCAACTGCAGCTGCTGCAGCGACTGGCACACCTAAAACGATCCTGAGCCAGTGTCACCACGCATGTACACTCATAAAACTGTACAAGACGAAACGAAGGACAAAAGACACTAATGTTCACTTTGAATTGGTCACGTTGGGATGGTGCGGGTGGATTTTTCTTTTTTTGTTTGTTTGTTTGTTTTCTACTTTTGTGGTTTGCACATTAGCTTCTGAGTGATTGACAAGGTGGTAAGCCAGTCAGGACAGCAAGCTAGGGACTGATCTTATGGGGCGTCTTACAGACATATAGATATGTCCATGGTTACTCGATATAGATTTGTTAAACTGTTATATTTTCCCTTAAATTAAAAGAAAAGGTAAGACTGTTGCTTGCTACAAAGGCTTGTTTATTATGCAGCACTTTCTTGTGGAAAAACTGCTGCAACTGTGCTGTTGAACTGCTGCATGGTCTGCTCAGATGTGTCCTTGGTTGTATTGAGCGTGGTGTGCTTGCACAGCAGTGATGTCTTTACTTTCTGTATAGCATCAGGCTAAAAGCAACCTTGAAAATTCTCTTTCCCTTAACTTTCTTTTCTGTCCCCTGCTTCTTAGTGCTCGGCATACAACCTTCACATATTGTTATCAGGTTATGCCTTTGTCTGTATTGTTTTTTTTTTTTCTTTCTCTCACTCTAGAGCATCTGACCTCACCTCCTGACTTTGGTCAACTTTCAAAGTTTCCAGCTTCATGCTTGCTCGAAATGGAAATATAGGGGGCTTAAGTGGGGCTGTACTGAGCCATGCAACAATGATGTTACATCTAGAAGGATACAAATTGTCCTATACCTCTAAAATAGCTCAGGTTAAGTCCTCACTTCAGTGCCTCCAGGTTTCCATTCATAACTTCAGCTTTTCTTTTCTCGCATCAATGTTTTACAGCGGCACCATTTCCACAGTAATAGCCTGTTTTGTAGCATTATTTTGAGAAATGTAGGACATGTATTGTCGTGCAGATGTAACTTGAGATTGATCCTATTTTCAGTCAACATCTGCAAAGGCACTACAGAGGTCTTGACCAAGATTTCACTCTATCTTTGTTATTCGTGTGCCATGGAGACCAGCTATAAGGTGAATATCGGCTTCAAATGACCCACCAAAAATGTTATTTAGCGGCCAAAGTTGAATCTTTGTGTGTGTATGTTTGAAAGCAACATGAAAAATATCAACTTTTGCCTGGAGATGAAGCCCACTGAGTTCCAACTGTACATTTTTTTTTCATCTTGTTGTCTGATGTTCTTTTTTTTTCTTTTTGCATTTGATATAACGCCTCTAGAAGCCTTTTATTGTCTGTAGACCATCCTGCTGGATGATGTGTATATAGTATACCCTTATGTACAGTCCCTTCCAAACCAAAACCAGAGCTGTCTACTAAACTCATCCTAGTTTCTTTCAGCCTTGTGTCCTAAACCTGGGCCGAGCTTGCTGGCTTTTCAAAGATAACTCAAAGCTTCTATTTTTGTTAATAAAATGATTATGAAAAAGAGTCAAAATAAAACACGTACTGAACATTGATCACACTAGCCACTTTGTCACTACTTTTTTTTTTGCATTGCCTACTTGTTTCTTTACTGTTTGTTACTTTCTCTGTCTTTGGGTGTTTTCTTTATTTGTACAAGTCAGAGTTGACAAAAGTTTTATACTATATTTTCCTACCGAGTTGTGTTTCAGTGTGAGCTAATGACTGTTTTTGTTATTGTAGCTGGCAGGGTCTTAACTAGTGGTGATGTGCTGAAGACTGTATGCATGGTCGGCTTTTTCTCTACGGCGAGGAAAGCACCTGAATGCTCTTTCTTTTCAATCCAATCACTCTGGCTGAAACACTCTCTCAAACTGGCACAGGCGGTTGCATAGGGGAGGAGGAGTTTGGAATTAAGAGGATCTACCGATTAAACTTCTTGCTGTGCGTAGCCTTTAGTGACCCTATTGTTACTGCTTTCTCCCTGCTTTTTAGCGAGCCTGATGCTCCCTATTGTCCCATAAGCCATGCATCAGAAAACACTGTAGCCTTGGAGCTAGTACTGTAAATGACTCGATCTCGAGTAGCATGCCCTGCTATTAGCGGCACTCAGGAAACTCCCAAGCATGGTGTAGCTCCTGTGAGAGGGCCACAGGCTGTGCTTGAGGTAAACACCTGTTATTATATGCTGTACATATAACATAACGCTTAATCAACACATATAGAAAAAGGACCATTCAGTCAGAGAAATCCTGATGATTGGGTGAACTAATACACCAGGATATCTTCATGAATGTTTCTGTTTTCTTCTTTGGATTAGCTGTAACATTATTCTGCCAATTCATTCAGCACAAACCGCTGTTAGCCCTGATGTTTCTTATTTAATTTCTCAACAGTGAGGACCCTCAGTAGTGGTTTGCTTTATTAAGTTTAGTTGTTTGACTTGTGTTGGTCACTGGTCTCTGCTGTTCGCACAGTCGTGGTAGCAGTGAACGTTGCTTACTTACTTTGGAAGTGATTTTGGAGCCTTGTCAGCACTTTGTTTTTTTTTTTCTTCTGTACCTCATAAGCCTCTATGTATGAAGAATAAGTCAGAAAAATAATAAACTCATAAATTGACATAAATCACCTGCTTGCTTTATTTCTTTTTTTCTAAACACACATAAAAATAAAAATAATCACAAGCATTCTTGTACCTTAACTGGAAGGTTGGCGGTTCGATTACCCCTGATCCTGAGTTTGTCCGTTGTGTCCATGGGCAAGACACCTAACCCACCTTGCTCCCAGTGTGTGTGTCGTCCACTGGTGTATGATTGTGAGTGTTGTGTGGTGGTGGTCGGAGAGGCCGTAGGCACAAAATGGCAGCCACGTTTCCATCAGTCTGCACCAGGGCAGCTGTGACTACTAAGGTAGTTTACCACCACCAAGGTGTGACTGTGTGAGCGAATGAATGATGTATCCAATATAAAGCGCTTTGAAGGTCTCTGATAAAGCGCCATATGAAATCTGATGCATTAATAAAATTCATAACATGTGCAGATGGATATTTTAAAATGTAAGAACATCAACATAAATTATTTGTGTTCTTTACACATTTGTTTTCCTTTCAAGCCACCTGTATGAGTGAACACACATCCTCCCCTCCACATCCACAATTTGTTCTCAGTAGTATCCATGGCAACCCATCTTGGCATCTTTGCCGTGGAAACACACATCTTTGCTCACTGCTGCAGTGCTCCGACAGTCTCCATAGAAACGATAGTAACTGTACCGCAATCCCAGCTGAAAGAGAGTTTTATAACTGTTGTTTATGGTATCTACAAAATGATAAATCCGTCCACACAGCTCACTGGGTGGGGATTATTCTAATGAACCGAATTCAGACCACTTTTGTAATCGTTGAAGCTGCATGAGGTAATCAGAGCGTGCACTTTACGCCAATAACGCGTAAATACTCACATGATTACGCAATTCAGTCTCATAAGATAATAGACCCTGAACTCGAGCGCCAATCAATCATTGTTGCCAGAGCAACGGCTGTCTGTTGCTTAGTAACAGAGCCCTGCTCGCCGCTGTATGCCCTCTGCGCATGCGCCTGGCCGTCAGCTGGGCACCGAGGAAGCAGCATCATGGCGGCGTCCGCTCGCAGCGTGCAGTGTGCCTTGAAGAGAGCCATGGTCCCGTCATTAGTGGTGATTTTAGGAGCTACCGGCACCGGCAAGTCAAAGCTGGCGATCGAGATCGGGAGACGGCTTCGGGGGGAAATCATCAGCGCCGACTCCATGCAGGTAGGACGGCTGTTAACACGAGGAAATGCCCGGAGAGTCCTTGACATGGCAGCCATTATGCCTCAGTAAAGCTGAATAAAAGATCTGCTGTGCGGCTAAATGTGATCAGATTGGAAAACTTGCTGTTGTACTGTCATCCAAAGCGATCGGACTCTTTGAATATGTAATCTGCATTCAGCTTCATGTTTGGCGCAGGGTGGCGAGAAGCGCAAACGAAAACGTGAGAATAACTTCAAAATTATCATAAAACAGATCATCAGTCATCTGCACTGCAATATATTTCTGTAAACCTCACTTCAGATCCGTCGTGGCAGCAAACAAAGCCCTGTTAACGTGTTTAATCCACATCAGCATGTCTGCAGGGCCTGTAGCCCACGGGGACACAACAACAGCAGCTACAGGAAGACGAAATGTCACAAACAACCTCCCAAAAACATGCAGAAGGGTTTATCACTCTCTGGAGATTAGCTGGAATACACCAGAGTCATTTGATAAAAAAAGAAAAGCCCTTTGAAGTCTTAAAAAATGAAGCAGAGAAGAAATCGAGGATAGAAATAAGAGCCTAACTTTAGTCTTGGTCCTACTTTCTCTGTATCCTATGTCTGTCCTCCTGCCTCATTCTGATTCCCCACCTCTTAATTCTTCTAAAATACATGAAAACATTAACAAAACCTACTGATTGTGACTCATATCAGGTTTTAGTGCATGGTTAATTTACATTAGGAGTTACATTATCACAGAAGTAAGCAGTTAAACCCTAAATCTTGTCTCAATGAGATAATGAGAACATTTGTAAATATAATACAAATACATACACAGCATAAATGTGAGAAAAGTTTGTAACTGCAGTATAAAGAAAGCGAAGACTGTGTGCAAGGTATAAGTGCATGTCTTTTAAAGGTTAGGACAGTGTGCACATGATATTTATATTATATTTGCTTTAAGCCATAAAGTATATTTTCAAAGTTTATCTTTTGGTAAATAGTCAATCTTTAAGTGTTGGAGTGAATTACAAGTTAAAGCAGACAGGAGACAAAAAAAGTGATATCTTAAGACAACTTTATCTGATGGGCTTTTTAATTCTGTTCTAGGATTAATAAGAAAAGTGAAGCCAAACATTTATTTTTCCATTACACCATCTTTTACACACCGCTGCTTTGTAGCATACACACAACATAATACTACCCAGTACAACAGCTCTGTCATAAATGCTCTTTTCCTGAATACAGACAAGTTTTAATTGTCAAACCATGTTCTTTATTGTGGTAAAATGATATTGTTTTTATTGATGTTGAGCCAGACTGCATTATAGTTACAGCTTTTAAAAATATTCTGTTTAAAAATTAATCTTTTTTTTAATCTTAATTTCCCTTTAGGGATCAATAAAGTTCTTCTTCTACAAGACAAACAGGGACTAAAGTCTGTATCTGTGCATGCTGCACCTGGAAGGAATGAGAGTTTAATTCAAGTATCTGAAACTTTTCATGTGAGGGAGGCTGACGATCCAAACAACAACCTTTGCCTGTGAGATATCTCACACCCCATTAAACAGACGTTATACTCTCTGGTATGGGCCAACCTATCACCATCAGAGTGTAAATATTAAACGTTAGAAGTAGAAATAGCAGTGCCAAGTAAAACAGAAAAAGCTAAAAGCCTCATAGAGGAAGTTATAGGAGAAAGGTGTTTAATCAATTGCATTAAATGGCGTGTATGTCACGATGATCCTTTGTATGTGGGAGTTGCAGCATTATCCATCAGTTATGAGCTAGTTCTGTAACACTGAAATGTGGTCCTAAAGATTTTATCTGCTCATTTTTACTCTTTTTTTATTGCTAATCCAGGCAAAAACACAGCGATAGGTGGTCTTTAAAGTTTATAGTGTAAGCATTAAGAGCGTTGTGTGGGTGTGTGAGTACAGTGACATTTACAGAACTCCAAGGCTCACATCTCTTCTCTCTCCTCTCCCTCTCACAGCCCCACCTCCCATTTAGTTCTCAGGCTCTGTTGCCACAGCAACCATGGGGCACTGAAGGTTGAATACAGGTTGGAGTCAGGGTCACAACAGAGCACAATATAGACACACAACACACACACATAAACAGACACAATTAATTACACCACTTTATCCAATCAGATTTCACTCTTTCATCACCTTTTTTCCATCTCAGCACCACTTACTCTCCCCCCTTTAGTGTACATTGTCCTTGAGAGTGTGCATCCCAGTGGGGAGTGCCTCTTCCAGCAGTCACCTGGTACTGGGCAAACTGGGTTACGCTAATAACATTTGAGCCCAGAATATCTCAGCGACCAGCAGCTCTGGTGAAGAGAAACAGTGGCCTAGTTAGAGCACGGCAGCCCCAGCCTATTTCCTCGTTTCCTACCCTTGTTGCTACCCTCCTGTCGGCGTGTGACAGCCAGAGAAAGCCAGAGAGACATGCAGACATGGAGGGAGTGAGAAAGAGACTTGCTTATATGAGAATAGGGTTGTGTATAGGCTAGAGCTGGCCTGTGTTGTCTTTGGGATAGGAAACAGTCTGGTCTTGTTTGGGAGAAAGCAGCATTGTGCTGAGCTGGTGCATATTCAGCGCCGTGCTACGCCGGCCCAGCAGCTGATAGTGAATGGGCACGCTGTGGCCACTGGGAAGTGTCCATTGTCCCACTGAGAATTGGTTCCCACACTCCCTAACACTCCTATTGTGTTATCATCACCCCCTCCTGCCTGTGGCCCAGGCCTCCAACCCACAGTTCATTGGACATGCAGGGGGATATTATTCACTCATTAAAAGAACATGCTATCTATGGCACACACACAAACACTCAGCTGTACTGTCAGTGAATGAGGCGCTGCCAAACGGTGTAATCAGGGGGTCCCCTAAGTGGGGGTCCTCCATGGGCTCCCCGCTAAATATCAGTGTCCTGTCATTCAGTAGAGGGTGGAATTATGGTAAAGAAGTGTCCATGTGTGATTGTTATCTTCGGCTTTAAAGCCCCTACTTAACTGTCTGATGGTAACTGAAGTCTTCTGTTTATGAGAAGTCTCTAACTCGCCCTGAAAATTGCCAAGTCTTTTGCTTTAATGCAGAAAAAAAGAGAACTGAAATAGCAGCACAGAACATCATGTGCTTTATTGAATGAAACGTGCCCTTGAACACTTAATTTCCTGTGGCTTCACTTGTAGTACTTGTTATTTTAGTCTTAGAAACAAATGCTTTCCCCATCCGCTCTGTTGATGTTAGCCTCCCACAGGTGGCATTATAAGACTTGAATTCGGCTTTCTAAAATAATCCTAATGACTACTTGAAGATACATTTTTTTTGTTTTAGATCTGTCACCCCATTGACAGTTTAGCTTATTTGATATTGTAGGTTTTGTTTTTGCTCTTGCAAGTGAGGATTAATGCAGTCAGATGTGATTGATTTTAAAATAGCATCTACAATTTTACACCTTACCTTGTAATCAAACACATGTTTGCTTACGTAATCCCTCTCCCTTAAGGTTGAGGGTTACTCTTGCACTGATTTTTTTATCATGCCCACAATTTAATGTAATTGGTCGAATCAGGCCTTCGATGAGCTGTTATGGACAGACATTTGTTAATCAAATGTCACCCCAGGGAGATGCTGATTTAACAGACACCACCTAATGATATGATGACACTCTGAGAAGCAACATTGGGATCAAGTGTTTGATATAGACGGAGACAGTAAAGGGGGAAGTGGCTGCACTTCAGAAGTGATTCATCAGAAACTAAATCTGTTCACTCAGAGCCGGGATCATCCTTCCAACGATGCCTCGTTCATGCTCTGCCGCACATCACATCTGTGAAATACACAGCAATGTTCCCTGTCTCTCACTAGTTTAAAGCGTTTGGCAGCTACTGCATAATCTGCAGCCAAAGTGCGTTTTTTTCTTGTTGTTGTTGTGTCATTTAAAAAATCTTAGTGTGTGCTGCAACTAAAGATGATTAATAATACTGCAGGATATTGTGCAATGCATGTCTTTGATAAGAAATGCTCTTGATCGTTAATAAATGTCTGCAGTGTTGTGGTTTGAATTTAAGACTCTTAAAACTTAGTGCTCTTTGAGGACATAGTGTTACCTCAAATTACAGATTTTTCCTGAATGTGAGCAAGTATTAAAAAAAGGACTTGACATGTATCACACAATGTGAGTATTTGCTGTGGAAAAAGTCAGACTCTTCATTCAGCATGTGCAAATTGCTTCATCTGACACCTAACCTTTCAGAACAGCAACAGGCATTACAAATTCCAGCTTCAGATTTGTCAGTCTTGTCAATTCAAATCTGTTCAGAGTTTTGAAGCTCATGAATCGGTGATATTCAAGTTTCCTATAGGAACACTTGAACGCACCAGCAGTGGAGAGTGAAAAGGATCTCTGCTCGAGCCGAACTGTTATTGAATATTGACAAAAAAAAAGATAGCTAAGTCATCACGGTTATAAATTTTCTACCTCTGGAAAAGTGTCTCTTCATTGTATCTTATAACACTCACTTAATTTATGGTCTACTCACACATAGCTCCCACCAGTATAATTGTGTTAAAACCTTGTGGAAGAATTCAGTTAATTCACACTCCCTGCAAACCACTTTAAGTTAATTTTCATCTTAATTTCTTGTGCATGAACAAATTTCTCATCCACACTCACAGCTCCCCTTTTAATGCATTAACTAATAACCCATTGTCATCCTGAAATAAATGGCTGTAATGCAGCGTGTAAAAGAAGAGGGTGTGTTTGAGTCAATGGGTGGGCAAGGTGGGGGTATCATAGTAAAGGTCCGTCAGAGGTCCTAAGGGGCAATTTAACAGGTCATGCACATGCATGCACCACTACTGAGTGTTTCTTTGACTCCTGGGAGTAGTGATAGCCGCTGACCCTTTGCTTTATGCACGTATGAAAGCGAAAGCTGCCGTATTCTCTCAATGATGACATGAGGAGGGAAAATTTCCACAAAAGAGGACAATTTGTCAGGCTTGTGGTTTTCTGTTGAATGTGAGTAATGGGCCTGAACAGCAGGGAATCTGTCATGTGTCATCTTGACCGTTATGGTGCCATAAAAAAGAAATAAGAGAGGCCCTTCTTAGCCAAGAAAAAAAGTATATATATTTATCATGGGCTAATTTGCCTTTTGAGTCATAGATCTAAAAAAAATGTGACGTAGTCAACTGATTTGACACTTGGATTTGCTGTGTGTCCTCCTAAAGGTTGCACTTGAAGTTGTTAATCACATGAACACACATCCATTAGCACCAACTGCTTATCTACGCATTAAACACATCTCTCACCTCGAGTGTGTGGAGCTATGTGTTATATCCCTCTAATTCACTCTCTGCTTGTGTCCCGCCTCCTCTTCTTCTTTCTCTCTCTCCTCCCTCCGTCTCTCTCTCTCCCTCTGTCTCTCTATCTGTCTGGTGTGGCGATGACCTGTCTGGGCTTTGACGCAACTGTTTGTATTCAAACTCAGGCACTGCTTCCTTCCACATCCAATTCATGATGTGTCTGTTTAGGTAGTCCAAACGCAAGTAAGTGTGAGCCAAAAGGAGGGCTGATTGACTCATATTTCTGTTGTTTGTTTGAGTGTGCGCACACGTGTGTGTGTGTGTGTGTGTTTGCGTGCTCGCATGTGTGTAAATCACAGTCTTCGGGTGTGGTGATGCGGTCACCGCTACAGTTAAAACAGCAAGGGAGAGGAGGATGGTAGAAGAAGAGGGGCGGGGGGGACAATGCCATGAATGATTTATTAGTCTGGCATTACTGGGCCATTCCCCACAGAGAGACGGAGGAGAGGAAGATGGAGGGATAAATTGTTGAAGGATGGTGCCTTGAGGGGAAAGGAGAAAAGGGGTAAAAAGAGAGAATAGACATGAAGGTGTACTGTGATGGATGAAAAAGGAGGGAAAAGATTCAAAGACAGAGGGATGAAATCAAAGAAATGTGGCGTACAGTTTGGTTAGATGTTTACTGCTGGGCCACGTCCAGAGGTCAGAGTAAGGACTGACTGTCTTGTCTTTCTTTGGACCAGACATGACTTATGATAGCTGAACCGTCTGCTGGTGAGTTAGCGAGGCTTTCAACATTTTCCCTTACATGACGACAGGAATTTAATCTGACAGTACAGTTTTCTTTTAAAAGGAGTAAAACACAGGACACTTTCAAAAGTGATTAGAAAAATTGACAGTTTTAATGTCATTTACTTTTTAATTGTACGATTGGAAAGATGCATCAATCAGATATTTTTTTTTCTCCTTTTACTACAACAAAGATACTTTTTTCCCCAGATTCAAAATGTAGAAATGTCTCTTAATGGAGTTGAGTAGCTCATTTCTTCTTCTAATAGTATGTGGAGACATAAATATGAGAATTCTGTTAAAGCTATTCAACTTTAAAATGCCTAAAACAGCAGCACAGCCAACCCATCCACAGGCCTTGTTACATAAGCATTTCAAGGATGAAATTTTGGAATGAAGTTTATGTTCTCTTATGTAATTGAGGTAATTAGTGGGTTTGAGAAAAAAAAAAGAAGTCCCACAATGTTTTTGCTTGACGTCAAACTGCGTGAACTAGGAGTTTGCATAGTTGACCTGTGGTAAACCCAAGTGTTAGGTCTTCTTTTTAGGATCTGAGTATAGTCCATGATTAAAGATGCTGAACTGACTGTGGCTCACAGTCCAGTCTTATACAGTGTACGCTGTTTGTAGTGTGAGCTGAACTCTGAAGTGTGAAGCATAAGCTGAGAATGTAAATATGCCTTTTTGCATGACGTCTGTGGACTGATTGTTCTTCCAGCCAAACCAAAGAGCTTGCTTAACAGATGGCTGGCAAGCAGCTGGGAAACTTTTTTCTATTGTGACAAATTTCTCTGGCAGAGAGTCAGGAAGCCGAGTTTTACAATAACAGTCCTCAAATGACACGGACTGCAAAGGGACATGGACATAAACTATCCAAGTACAGCTGGCGGCATTATGAAATGTAACAGTCTTACTCCTGTATTAGCCGTGCTTAGCTAACAGTCTCTGTAGTCTGCATTTTAAAGGCAGGAAAAAGACTGCCGTCCATGTACCTATCCGGCTGTCTGCAAGGAAATGTCTGAGTGTAGTTAGTAAGATGTTGAATGACTTGAAGAAAAACCATACAAACTGTGAATCAGTCACATCCTGCTGGTGCGAGATCTTCAGAATGATGAAAAAATAAAGAATAATGTTGAAATGAAGATTATTTTTGGTTTAACTATCTATTAAGTAATCTGTAACTGTCAGCTCTACAGCTCAATTAAATAAATGAAATACTGGTGCTGTGGTGGACCAGTATTTGGTCAGATACAACTCTGTAAGCTCACTTTATACCCCTCTATTCTTCTTTTAGTGTCCTCTGAATCTTATTTCATGTCTCAATGAGTGCTTGTTCTCTCCACCTCTTTCTTTTCCCCCTCACCCCTCTCTGTCTTTTTTGCCCTCTTTCTTTCATCCGTCCATGCTCCCCCCCTTATTTATGTGGCACTGGAACAGCTGTCTCGTGCAGGGTGTAAGGTTGGCAAGGCAGGCTGGCTGCCGGCTCTGCAGGGCTCCAACACTGAGCTCATTGTATTTTCGGTGCTCACTCGAACACACAGACACACATTCTCCCCTTAAATGCTCAGAAGCCACATGGCTTCATCCATTCATTTCCATTCAAAAGGGAGACAGGGAAAAATAGGCAGCTGGGTCCATGTTTGCTGGGTTTCCATTGAACTACATCCATGTGAGTTATGATGCTTGTGTAAAGAAAGCTAAAAGAGAAGGGGATTGTGTAGGAAGCATCTCCCGAACCACTTTCCAGGCAACTTCACTTGTAGTCCTTTTAGTTTTTCTTTGTCAATGAAAAAGTAATGTAAAATGTCAGGGATGAAGTGTAGTGAGTGGGTTGTCACAGTTGAGTGGAACCCTGACAGGGTGAGCAGGACTCCAGTGTGAATCTTAAGCCGAAAACATACAGGATCCATATTGAGTGTGTTCCCTATTTGCTCCATAGAGCAGCCCTGGGTATCGCACACAGGATGCGTATTTGGAGCGTGGCAGCAGTGTAGTGCGGCTCCGGTCAGCTAGGCTCAGTATAGAAGAGGCGACATGCTCACAACAGGTTGTTTTTTTGCCTTTCCGTGGTCGATTTCCTGCTAATTTGGATATAATTCAGTGACTGTTGAGCTTCTACTCTATGTGAAAAAGCGTGATTTTACAGTTTTGGTTTTTGCAGTTTTACTTGTGTTTAATAAAGTCCTGTTAGGGTCCACATGGATCAGGGATTGACCATCGGATTGTTCTGTGATACTAATAAATCCATAACCAGGAAGTATTTCTCATCTACACAATCTGATACACAGTTAAGAGTTTGCATGTGGTGTTTAATTTTGAAATTACAGATGACATGTGCGGTTTTCGAGCTTGACATCCTGTCTAGAACAATCTTCTCTGTGTGGATTGACGCGCACTGGAAGCGTAGAGCAGCCAAAAATAGACTCGTCGCATATTTTAGCAGTGCTGCTCTCAATATGCTTATGACATGGAGCTGATACACGTCCTGTAAGCGATGCTGCATTGATGAGGATGGCAACCTGTTTGCCGCGTGATACGCAACGCTGCCAATACACGCTAAATACGGATTCTGTATGTTTTAGCCTTCACACAGCTCCTTATTAATCAACTGTGTCACACAAAATATTGTTTGGGATTGATTGATTAGAAAGGACTGTTACCTCTGTTACAGTTATAGTTAGAGCTTTAAACAAGGGGTGTAATTTTAACCATGATACAACACACATCACGATCATAGTAGTGTCCGTAACACATGTGTTTCTGAAACTGAGTTTTTAACCAATATGGTGAATGAAGCCAGTGTACGCCATAACGGTTACGCTGACTCAACCTAACATTCAGTCAACCTACCAGAGGTGAACCTTTGGCCTCCTCGCAAATTGCTACAGTGTGCCAACCTGTCAGCTGAGTCTCTGATTTGCTGATCTTGTAATAATCCTAACTCCAAAACAAATGCTACACACACACACACACACACACACACACACACACACACACACAAAAATCACTTATGTAGCGTGGGTGCCGTGCTGTAGGCCTGTCTGCAATTATGGCGCAATCATCTCTATTCCTTCTACCACTCACTGTGGTGCAGATTTCTTTTGCCTTCAACCTGTTAAGATAGTACCCTATACACCAAGGACAGTACTTGGTAAAACTGTTGTTTTTAACTGCGATAATGGCAACACACCAATGTAGTGTCTGTGCCGTATCAAACCAGCAGTAAAGGTGCAGCTAAACTGCCAAAGAAGAGCATTTTGCTGAGAGCATCTTGCTTGTTTGTGTAATAGTAGAGTGTCCCTTCAGATAGTAGCATCTAACGTAATACACTGATCTCTAGATGCAAATTTAACCTGTTGAGAGGTCATTCATATGCGAAAGGTGGATGCAACAATTTGTTTTCTGTTAATCGAGACTAGACTTCACAGCCATCATAGATACACAAAGCGACACCCGACTCTGATCCCATTTGCATTCACATCTGCACTTTTGTTCTTATTCACATTCACTCTGTCTGATTGTTGTATTCTCTGTTTCTGCAGCACCATCAGAGTGTTCAAGAGTTTGATGATTATTTTAATAAATATGTAGGCCTATTGCATCTCGATTACAGCGTGTGAATATGTTATTAAAGAGCTCAGCACTACCATGCACGGTTGTTTAAGAATAGATGTTGATAATAAAAGGATAAAATGAAGTAGAGAGTTATTATTGTTAAAATAGTCACAGAGAGACACAAAGGTGAGAGTTCAAACTGATTGACATATTAATGACTGTTTTCTGGACCTGGGAATAGTATTGAAAAAGGCATACCTCTATATGAGAAATGCATGAATTACTGTATTTGTCATACTGCAATAAATAGTGAATCACTGATTATGAGTTAACCAGAAACTGCTGCTCTGATGAAAAAGTTCTCCTTGCTTTTCCACAAGACTGATCAGACTTACACAGATAATCACTCTAGCAGTGCTTATGGATCATGTCCTTTACTTCATTTTGTAATTTATATGGAGAACACCGTCAGTGCAGCATCTGGGTGTTTCTCTGCCTCTTCACCGCACAGCTCTGTGACATTTTCTTTAACATTTAGTCGATCGTCTTCAAAACTGTAGTATCACCAGGTGTTCACTTCATTCAGTGCTTGTCAATTTCTCCGTTATGTTGTGCAAAGATTCCCTTGTGCTTTTACCTCTTCTCTTGTTTTTTTTTCCTCTTCCTTCTGAGTTTACAAATGATAAAAACAAAAATCCTCCATGTTGTTTTCTGATTTAGAGAACTAACAACTCCTTTTACATTTTTCGCCACAGTGTCAACAGGCAGAGGTGAAATGTACCAGACTTCTTTTGCCAGAGTGATTTAACACCAGGTGTTAGATTGTCCCATGCAACAGCGGTTTCTGTAAAGCAATCGTTTGCCAATAGCAGCCTTAACATAACAGACTGTTGCTATGGAGAACTGACCAATCAGAGTGTTTAACAGAGCTGTGTAAGAAATTCAGAGATTGCAACGGATTGTAACAAAGTTAACAAAATTTATTTTACTTACTTCCATGAATACACTCAGTTTTTATGAAGAACTGCTTTTTGCTTGTTTCTTATGATATTTAGTTGACTGATAATGTGCAATATGACACCAAAGAATAACAACAACCTGATCTGGACGGACTAATAATTACTTAACGTTTCCCACTTTTGTCTCTCCACATCTACCCTCTACCAAATGATCTATTTGTGCATCACTTGGAGCATTTATTGAAAAATTGCTTGCCTGCCATTCACTCATTCATATTATATTGAGACATTTTCTCACAGTTTGATAAAAATAAATTTGTAAACACAAAAGATTTCAGTCTTTATGCTTTTACAACTCTGAGCTGTAACATTGCTACCGCCTTCATTTCTTTCGCATTTGCCCTCTCATTTGCAGCTCCCCCTCAAAGCATTTTGTCTTCATCTTCTCCACTCAAGTGGCTCTTTTCATTTGTCTGCTTTACATTTGCGTCGTCTTCAGCCGGCTTGTACTCTTGGGCCTCCTTGTCCTCGTTACGGCAAAATTGAAATAATCACGGCCTGTTTTTTTTAAACACACTTGCACCAAAATCTGTAAATACATTGAGGAGTATTTATGTGAGGGTTAACTCATATCTACACACTAAACAACATGTAACAAAGGAGAAAATGACAAGGACTGTGAGGATGAGGAGGAGAATGGATTGATGAGAGGACATTTCTATACTGCTGCTGAGCAGTATAGAATAGTATAATATAATAATATAGTATAATATAGTATAGGGCTGAAACGATTACTCGAGTAACTCGAGTAACTCGATTAATAAAATTCCTCGAGGCAAAATATATGCCTCGAGGAATCGTTTAAATCCGGAACCATGTGCAGCGCACGGTGTTTGACACGGACGGTTATTTCTGTTGCGCAGAAGCGTGCTCTTTCCGCTCCTTCCGCTGCCGCGCGTTTGGTTCAATCATGGAGGGAAACGAGGACAGACAGAAGCTGTGTCCGAAATGGCATACTGCCTGCTATCTACTTACCTACTCAAGCAGTAGCTACTGCCTACTGACTACTCAAAGATGATTTGAGTATGCCGCGGCTGCCCGAGCGTTTACACACATACATACTAAATACCCCAGAATGCATTTCGTGCCGGCCGGACGCAGCGCCGGGAAAATTTAAATAGTCCTACCACAAGCTACATAGAACGACTGCATACCGGACAAATTATATAAATTCATTCAATAATAATATTTTTTCTAGCGAGAAAGTAAGTGTTTACATCACGATTATGAGCCCAGTTGTTTGAAATAGTGGCTGTTTGTAAATTTGTCTCGGCGTTTTCGGAGACCGAAGCGTCCACTTGGTCGGTGTTTGCGTCTATTTACCGTAAACACCGGGCAGCAGCAGCTCCCCCTTCACGTTTCCAAATTATTGCGAAGTGTTTTCATAATTAACATCTACACGACACAAACCGGGCGGCAGTGGATGAAAAAAATCACACAAACATCCGTGTATCCATGGTGATAATGCTATACACCACCTGCTAGGCGTGTGATGAGCAGCAGAGGGCTGCAAAATGACCAACACACAACAACATGTAAATAAAAATGTAACACTTTTATATATTGAATAAATGTACATTTGCTTGTCAAATTATGTTAGTATCCAAGAATTATATTATTTCAGCCTATTAATTAAACAAGTAAAATTAGATCCAAAGCCTGGAAATAGTTGTGACTGGTTTAGTGAAAACTGCAAAGATCATTACCATAGCAATTAAAAGACCATCTGCAGACCTTGCCTTCAGTAGTTTCATGTGAACTACATGGTAAAATGTAAAACTTTTGGTTCCTGATTTATGCAGTAAAAATATTCATTTGAAAGACCTGGCCTATTTCAGTTTTGTGTGTTACTGATGGTTTTTAATGAGGCAAACGTGATTCAATGCAAAGTATTACAGTGAGAGCAAAACATTTCTTATCCGATTACTCGATTAATCGACAGATTAATCGATAGAGTACTCGATTACTAAAATAATCGATAGCTGCAGCCCTAATATAGTATAGTATAGACGAGGAAGGGTAAATAAAAAGCAAACTTATGGAAGATATCACGTGGTTTACTTTCATGGGTGCCCTCTTGGTAGATTAATGGCATTTACACCAAACTTTAGCCAATAGGAACCTACTCAGAAAAAATAAGATATTTCTTTGTGCAAGCGTTCAAAAAATAGATTTTGGTTGCCATCGTGCTGGAAATGTGAGTCTGTCAATCTGGTAAAAGATTGGATCAACACAACAGATACAGAAACCCTCATTATAGCTGTTTTTAAGTGTTTTTGAAGCCAACACAGGTTTACAGCTTGGAATACATCACTTCATACCCAGTATTAGATATGAGCTGATGTTTCTGGTAGTGTTGCAGTACTCGAGATCGGTCTTGGTCTTGAGACCAGTTTTTGAGGGTCTTGGTGTCGTCTCGGAATCGAAGGCATTTTCACTCGGTCTTGTCTCGGTCTCGGTCCTCTCTGGTCTCGGTTGGTGCGGTCTTGACTACGACGCTAGTTTCTGGTGTGGAAACTTGTCATCAAATTTTATTTTCCTTTGAGATTAATGTGCCTAACATTTTCTCAAAAATAAAATTTAGCTGATAAATATCAGCCAGACACAGTAGGAAGTTGGAGGGAGTGCACTGTCATGGATGAGCTGGATAGAGGGGCTGAGCTGATAAAGACCTTAGTGTGGAAGTGATAATAAATCTCTCATAACAAAGCTCCTATAAAGAGATTTTACATCAGAGTGATTGTCTGATTTTTTTATACTTTATGGCCAAAGGCCAACAAGACCATAAGCAACATGATTAGGGATTTTATATCCGTATTTTTTAATGCCTGAAATATGCAAGATAGTCGGTGTCAGCTGAGCAGCTTAAGTAACAGCCCAATACAATTATGCAATTTCCAGATGAAATATTTACAATGAACTCCAGTGTATTTGACTGTCAAAAGTCACCATGATGATATTTTATTTTGGAAGCAACTACTTGAGCATGTAGAAGAAAGATAAGCAAAGTCTCCTTGTGGTGTCTGTACGATGTTGTAAAGGCACCAATATTGACTGTGGTTGTAGTTTATCAGCAAAGTATATGAACATCATTATACATTAGCAGGATTCCCAATATCCTATTATCTCTTTTCACAAAGGTTGCATCCTCACTCCACCACATTATTACAAACTATGATGATGTAAATCTGAATCACATCCTTAGTCTTCTGCTGTGTCTCTACAGGCTCGTCCGGTATTGAAATTGAACGCACTTTATTACTCTTATCATTTACGTTAATGTGTACTATTTCAATCAATCAATCAACTTTATTTCTATAGCACATTTAAAAGAACCACAAGGGTAGCCAAAGTGCTGTACAATGACACATAAAAACAAATAAAACAATCAAAGAACAAGATAAAGCGAGCAGAAATACATCAATGCAAAAGAATAAATAAATGTATAAATAAGGAGGCTCACAGCAAGTGCTAAGATGATAAAAAAAACCCATAAGTGGCATGGAAAATAATGACTTAAAAAGTTAAAGCAGATACTGTTGAATCAAAAGATAAAAAGGCAGGTTGTGTTTCTCTCTGTCTAATTGTTGCCTTGGTTACGGTATTTGGATGATCTTTCAATCTGGCCACAGTTGCACTAAACAAAGAGCTTAGAGGACATTTGCAACATTTGCGCTGCAGCCCTCTACAACATGATGTTCTTTGCTGTCAGATTTCCTGAGTTGTCAATGCGTCTTGGATAATTTAACTCCTGTACTTCAGGCTCTTGTCGTTTAATCATGGAGGATAGATGATGATACCTGGTGAGAACATGGTTTAAAGCTCTCTTCCCGCACAAACCAACTTGAAGCCGTCATTTCTGAGCATCCCTCTTTCTCTCACCATACTTCTGTACTCCTGCTACCCATCAGTCTGTCTCCAATCTGCACAGTCTGTGTGCTAGTGTGTTTGGCAGAGAGAGAGTGAGAACGGGAAAGGCAAAGGAGGGGTGGTGGTGGTGGAGATAATGTGTGCAAATTTGTCAGGGAGCATCCTGTTCTCTGTCACAAGTACACATCGCTCTTCTGTCTCCTCTTATGTCCGCTCAGCTCCTGTTCTCTTGAATCCTCTCTGACGCTCTTTTTCTTTCCGAGAAACTCCTTCAAGTCCTCCTACCTCTTTCTACCTTCATCTATCTATCCATCCATCCATGCATCCATCCCCTCCTTGGCTGACAGTGGTGTCGTGCAGAGAAGCAGTGAATAATTTATCAGGCTGGGTTGTTCTGCCCTGCCCCGCTCCCCACTTTTGGCTCGCCGCGGTGATGGAGAACATTTGGTGAAGTGCACGCAACCCACACACACACTTTCACCAAGGGCATGATCAATAACCCGCACAGCTGTACTGAGTACACAAAGCATGTATGTTAGGTTAAATAGTAATCGTACCCTGTAACACAAGCTTCAGACGATTAGAAGATGTTTGTTTAATAAATTAGGATGTAGTTAAGAAGATGTGGGCACATCTTGAAAGACAAAGTACTTCCGAAACAAAATGCACTCCCAAATGAGCTGTTCCTTTATTTTTGACAGAGACAACAGCAAGGCTTTGATTGAAGTCGTTGTTGGTGTTGGTGGTGAGAATTGTCAGAGTTGAGTTCTTTATAGGACTGGTCGATTATATGATCGTGATTAAAGGTGGGGTAGGCAGGAATCTGTTAAAGAAGCATCTTTTTTGTGGTGTATATACAAAAAAGCGTTCAATATCAGTCAATAGCTATTAGTTATTGATGACACTTGGTAATATAACGATATCGCTGTGTTCTTTAATGTCCTTGTAGTCAACATTTAAAAATTTTTGAGCGTCCTGCTCTTTCTGACTGTAAACAAAGTCGTTCTCCACTTCCCCGACCTGATTGGTTGTGAGGTGGACGCTGCTCCCTCATGTCCCTCACGCTCCACGTCCTCGAATAACATTCACGAGCCCAAACAAAGTTAGCGTGCTACAATATCGGACAGTAGAAACCAACCAGAAACTACAGAAAATTTTCAACACACCTTATGTTAGGAAACTCTCATCAATGTAGGAGCCAGTTCTGAATCTGATTCTGCGTTGGGTTACCATGTTGCTAAAAATGAGGCTTAAAGGTAAGACCCTGTTAAGATAGCTAGCTGGATATACCAAGGAATGTGGCTCAGTAAAGTGCAGGTTAAAACCCACAGTTGGATCAGACCTTTGCAAATGTTTGGTTTGGGGAAAGGTCATAAAAAGACATCTCAATCCAAGTTCTGACGGGGCTGAGTCCCTGAAAACATCCCAAAGTAAATCACTGGAAACAAGGAAAGTTAGAGCTTGACAGGCCTGTCATGCCTGGTCATGTTTGTTGAACTGTGGTTTCATCATATGCTTTATTCTCTTAAAGAGAAGGCTGTGACTTTCCCATCTGTGGTTTTTTCACTTCTACCCACTGCACTGCCTTCTAGTTGACTCCAGCATCTCAAGGCAGAGTCCAAAACCCAAACTCCATAACTTACAATGTACTGTTTGTCTCTAAACGTTTGCACTTTTTATAGCTCCCGAGTCAGGAGTCAAGTCAGGAGAAACTTCTTTGATCAGTTCTTTGATGTTGTGAACATAATACTCATGTGTTCATGTGCTGTCTGACTGACTGCTGATTAAAGTCTGTATTTTCTCTTTCTGGATTAATGAACAATAGTCAGCTTTAACCAAGTCTCTTTCTTTTAATCATTATTTCTATCAAGGCTTTTCTTCACACCAGAGCGTTCAGCCCACTCTTAAAACTGTCGGGAAGGTTTTTGACTCAGAGGAGATTCATAAAGTTTTCCTGGCACAGACTGACACACGATCTGAGCCACACAGGCGTGCTTTGAATGGCTGGTGGTAGACTACACACAGATGCTTTTTTGCAGGGATCTCAGCCATTAAGCTGCATATACATGATTAATGAGGAAGATGGTGATATTTCACCCCATATGAGTGTTATGAGTGTTATAAACTGCAAAATTCCACTTCGTTTAGTGTTTGCTATCTTTGTGTTCAATTCTGGGTATTTCACTTCTTGGTTTTCAAGGACGCTTTCCTCAGAGTGATCGAGGCCCTGATACAAGAAGTCTTTTACTCTACCCTCACTGGAGTTAAAACCAAACTGCATGTGAAACATCACCTTGTCATCTCCGGCACCTCTCAGCTTGGATTATATGCATTTGTGTGATCTGATGATCATAGGGCTGGGCGATATGGCCTCAAATCAATATCACGATATATTGAGCAGTTCACCTCAATAACAATAAATGGACGATAACTACTCCACAAGCTGCTCACCCCCTCCCACATTGACTTTGTCTACTTCAACCGCCACTCCACTACAACTTTTGAACCGTCCTCCATCTCCTCACCTGTCTTTCCCTCTTTGTTACGGACTTGGGTGGAGTCACGTCTCCGATGTAAGACAGCGTCTTAAAGGGACATGAGACCATAGCCTACCTACACACATTTAAAACCAACTTTTATTTATTGATTGATTTGACACAGAATATACCGATATGGGCAAAATACTGTCGGTTATTGTCGTAAATTTCGGTATCGGTAAATTTTTGGTTTATCGCCCAGCCCTGGATGATCAGATTATTTTTCTGGTGTGCCCCAAAAAAGAAAACCATTGATGATATAAATATTACACCTCTCCTGTATCTGTGAGTGTAACTGCACCTTGAGACTTAGTTGTAAGTCATCACAGTCAGATAGACCTGAACTCTCTCCCAAGTGCTTTGAAAGGATCTGCTGATCAGTCTGAATTATACACATATGTAATCGTATAATCTGAATCATACGCTTTTATAATTTAACGAACATTTGTAACCTCTTTGAATGAGTAACATAAAACGTAACAGTTTTTTCTTGTATGAACTTTGACAGTGTAACACGTGTAACAGCAGATGGGTGTGTATCTGTGTGCATGATGCTGCAGCAGCACATATTGGCCCTCATTTATCAAACTCGTACGTGGCGTACGAATGATCGGGTCTTGATAAATGCGGCGGCTGAAATCGATCGTCATTAACATGTCACACCCATAAATATTCGTCGTTCAGAAGCTTCGCCCACTGAGGTCAAACATGGAGAGGAGGAATATTAGAAAGAAGCGAAACTTTTCCGAGCTGAAAGTGGAAACCCTCACGTCTGAGGTGGAGACTAACAAGTACTGTCCATATCTGTGTGTAGTTGTTCCTTTTAAACAATAAAGAAGCTAAGGTTAGCTTTTTCTTACTGTAGTGCAGAAAATACAAACTTTTTGGTCACTGAGTTACTGGTGTGAAAATTTCAGTACTTTATTTAAGAAAAGAATAAAAGTACAACAATGACCAACAATAATAATCTGATCCTTCAGACAAAATATAAATATATGAATTGATAAAATGTCCAAGAAGGATAAAGAATGAAGTGTAGACGTTTCTTCAATTCATATTTACAGTGAAATATAAACCTCTGGGCCCCAGTCCAATCAGGAAGTGCATTTAAGGTAAAGGAAGAACTGTTCCGGGCTGGGTTTTCAGATTGATACACGGTATGAAAGCAAGGAAAAACAAAGTTATTTTCCTGGTGGAGATGAAGAAAAACCCTCTCCAGAGACATCTCTTTAAAAGTCTCCAGTGTGTGCGTTTGTGTGTATGTGAAGATGGAAATCATGGCCCACTACTGTATGACACCCAGCTGTCAAATTCCATCAGGGTGCCTCCTCACTGGTTGATGTAAAATGGACAGAGGAGGTGCGTTTCATAATTTGCTGGAATGCCTCTCTGTTATTTCAGTTGGAGGGCAGGCTCCGGCTCTCATTTGCTCCGTTAAACAGCCTGTTTCCAGCTCCTGAAACTGTCAAATACCTTCAATTAAAAACACATTCAGAGACACACGCTTGCTCTCTGAGTCAAAGAATTTCCATCAAATATCTTTTCTTAGATTGCAGAATTTAACACTTAAGACCAATCCCTGTTACCATCTAAGGTTATTTTCATTAGATATGTTTACATGGGCACAAATAATCTGGATAAATGCCTGATCTGAATAAAAATGCGTCATGCAAACATGTCGATTGGAACATTCTGATCCAGTTTGGCTCAATTAGAAAGAAATTATATTCCGATCAAGAGGGGTGGTTTATGCCGATCGTTATTCCGAAACGCATCCATGTAAACACTTATTCCGATCGTGACTCTCTTACCTGTCCCGATCTTCACTCTTTAGCCTTTGGTTTATTTATTGAGGTCAGTACAGGAGGTTTCATTATTAACACTCTGGCATAAAACACAACCGCAGGTACCATGCCTTCTCCTTCAGTAACATAACAAGATGTATATACAGCATAATAATGTCACATCTGCACGCACAGTACAACATTTGGCAAAACGGTAAAATAAGTACGCAAGGGCGCCATCTAATGATAACATTTAACAGAGGGCAAAATCCTGAATTGGATGGAATGAGCCACTACTGTGTTTGTTGGTTTGTTGACAGAACAGGGGTAAATACAACTCTTCTTCTGTGGTTGTTTTAGCGAAATCAGACAACTCTGCTCATGTCCAAATGCTTCTAATCTGAATAAAGCTTGATGCATGTATACACATGTCATGATCATGTTTTTTTTTTTATTTTGCACCCATATAAACAGTGGATTCAGATTATCCAATCCCTCAAATTTTCAGAAATTTTGCTAATGACATAAATCTGTTTCTTTTGCTTCCTTCCTCAGGTGTACCAGGGGCTCGACATTATAACCAACAAGGTTACAGCTGAGGAGTGCACCCAGTGCAGACATCACATGATCAGCTTTGTGGATCCATTAGTTAGCAGCTACACAGTGGTGGACTTCAGGAATAAAGCCCTGGCTCTGATATCCTTTCCTAGAAACAAGACAGAACAGGAACAATTTTCTTTATAACACCTCTCTCTATGTGTTGCCGTCACTCCTTTCACATCTTCCTCTCTGATAATTAAACGGTAACTGCAGAGGAAGAATCCGGTCCATCAGACGTTTATTAATTGGTCTGGAGATGTGTTTGTTTGTGTGTGTGTATGTGAAGATCAGCTCTGTCCTTGTTTTGTCACTGTGTCTTGCTGCAGATGTTGTGCTGAAAGTGAGACGAGAGAGATTACTGGAGATAGTATTAATAGAAGAGCCTGTAATGCATCTATGCACATTTACACTGGGTCTAGTCACACCCTCTCGTAGACATCTGCCGTCACACAGATGTGGAGAGAGAAGGCGATAACTAGAGGTGGTATTAATAGATCAGGGAGGCATGCACACACTTTTCCTTTCGCACACACTCACCAGTGCGGCGGCGAGGGGTTGCGGTATCTCCAAGAATAGGCTCAGTGCAGCGTGAGGCTGCCGCTGGAAAGAAGGAGAGATGGAAAGAGATGAAAACAGAAGGTAGAGAAGGTGTGTGAGGATTTTAAACTGTGAAGCAGGACAGAGAGACCGCGGAGAGGGAAAGCGGAGGGACGTCTGTGTGTGGAAGCTAGAGGGAGCAGACAGGCTTAAGAAATTCAAGAAGCAGGACCCCGATGACGCATTATCAGCCATAACTTATTCACTCAACATGCCATTCACATAAAACAGCTCCCCCAAACCCCTCCCATTTCTTCTTTTATTGCTCTCAATCATCCAGCCCTCTTTCTGTTTCTCCTCCCTTGATTTCCCTCACCGCTCAGTGGCGATTACACTCCCTCTCCTCTCTCTGGTGAACACAGACATGCAGCCCTCTCTTGTGAGTGTGTGTGTGTGTGTGCATGTGTGTGTGTGTTGAAGAGAGGGGAGGAGAGTGCGGATGGCTGATGGCTTTTATCCTGTTTGAGGGGTTATTTGATTATCTCTGAGTAAAGAAGGTGGGTGTGGGAGGGGGAGAAAAAGAAAAGGTGCAAGATGAGAAAAGATGCGACAGAAAAGAGGAGAGGAAGAGAGGCGTGGTGTGGCACTGGTCTGCCTTCTTAAGATTCCAATATTGATGTTTTCTGTTGATTTTGTGAGGTGAACCAAGCTAAAGGGGCTGATATTGAGCCAGTGATTAATGTCTAGTATCGACACCTTTGCTGCAGCTGATAATTTAAATATTAACGTGTTTTTTTTATGTTGAATAACTCAGTGGTTATATAATGGAGAAACTTTGGCTTTTGCAAGACCCACTAGCCACTACAGGTTTGTTTTTGCTTGCAATTGGGTGTGGAAATGCTGTCATACTGAATGACCTCGCTTCAGTATCAGATATAACGAAACAATAATTGTCCTTTACTTAAAAAATAGGGTGGGTTCTATAAGATGACAACACAGGAGTGAGTATTCAGTCTACACAACCAAAATGGCAGCTTCCACCATAGAGCGGTCTGTTAAATATTGTGTTGAGGCCCTTTTTAACAATCCGGATTATTTGTTTTTATTAAAACAAGAACAAACAACTATGTTTCATCTGTGTTTCTGTCTGTTAGGGTTACATTTTTGGTTGCTGAGTGTGATGTTATATATTGTGTTGATATTGTTGGTTGTAGGTCTGTCCAATCCCTTCTCTAGAGGCACTTCCGCATACAGCCATTACTAATGCCCCCTGTAAAAATGAGATGAGTGAAATGTTCCAGACTGTTTCAGCAAGATGAGTTAGTCTGACGGGCCAAATGCCAGGCTACAATCTGGCATCCTCAAATTTCTTGTGAGGAACTTTTGGATTTTTTTTATGTTGATGCCACTGGTGGACCAAGTGATATCTCTTATATCTTGTTTTGTAAATATGAAAGTGTTATCAAAAAAAAAAATCCTTTTTTTTAAGAGTTACTTTTATATCACTCTGTATGAGTATTTGGGGCTGAAAAAGTCTGAATGTTTTTATTTTTATTTATTTTTCCTGACCTACCCCCTTATTGTTGTTTTAGGCAATGAAGTTTAAATCAATTCTTAATTTCCTGTATTTTTATTGCTCTATCATATTTGGTTCTCTTTTGGTCATTAAGTATTAAGCAGAAGCCCTATTGAATTTTATTCATTCTTTAAAGAGTAGGACGGTTGATATAATGCCACATTAAAGGGATATTCTGGCGTAAAATTAATTTCCTTTTTCTTAAAAAAAAAAAAAAAAAAAAAGAGAAATTCTGGTGTAAAATTATTTTAGGGTCAAACACACCTCAAACCATGGCTACTCAGACCGCTGTATATTGCTATCGTGCGGTCGTTACGTAAGTTGGTAGAACTAGAGAAGCAAGCAGTAGACAACGTTCATCTCTCAAGGGGGTGTCTAACTCGGTGTTGTGGTGAGTTTGACCCTAACTTTACGCCGGAATATCCCTTTAACATCAGATTTTTTGAGCTAATGATTTTGTAGAACTACAGAGCTGCCAGTGTCTGGGTGTCTCTCCTCCTTATCATATTGACAGTTTTATTTCAAGAAAATCCATCAGACATACATTCACGGAAAATGTGCCATGAACCTTAACTGAGTTGTAGTCATACCAAGCAACACGTGTGTGGCAGCTTCTCATTCAGCACTTAAATTAGAAGCAGATGAAACTCTTTTCATGCAGCAGCTCTTTTCATGCCATTAAACGAACCACATTGAAATGCTTTTGATTGTTGTGCATTCAAGCTTGGGCCAAATTAGTAACAGGTGAACATCCATGTAATTCTTCTTGATAAAAAGTGCATAGATTAATTTCCTCCTTAACACACGCTGACATAGGCGACATGCACAGCAGAAACAAGCTGCCTATCATTGTTGGAGGAACCAACTATTACATCGAGTCGCTGCTGTGGAAAGTCCTGCTGGATACAGGGGTGAGTGCCGGTAGTGTATCCTGACTTCTCTACAGAGTGATTTTGTAACTATAGGCACAGAAGATATATAGTCAAATCAATAAAATCAATATTAAAGGCAATATAAATTAAGAATATGGTATATTTCTGTCTTTTGTCCAGTTTCAGCAAAGAAAAAAAACTGTTAGTCGTCCAAAGTTACGTTCTGTACGCAACAATAGAGGAATCGATGAAGACAGCTTTTGTCAACCTTAAGTGTTCATGTGTTGTTTCTGACAGCAAGAAAATGAGGACTCAGGGAATGGAGGGGATGGAGCCCCGGACAGGAAGTTGGAGTTGGAGAAACTGAGTGGAGCAGAGTTGCATAAACGGCTCTCTGAGGTGGACCCCAAAATGGCAGCAATGTTACACCCCAATGACAAACGCAAGATAGCCAGGTAATACTGGTGTATTAGTTTGAAAAAAATGTGGTAGTCTATCATGCTACAAACTTATCAATATTAATTCTAGATGTTTTGTTTTTCCCGTTAGCTAGTTTGACACCTTGGAGCAAGAAAAAAACTGCTGTAACATTGGTGATAAATATGGCTTGGGAATAGACCATACTCCCATGGCAGCCATCTTTTATGGTACCACACTCAGGGTGGATTAATGCTGCGTTCGAATTACCTCGGAAGTCAGAAGTCCGAGCTGAAAATAACATCACACCTGAGTTACATCTACGAAAGTTATTTTAGCGCTTGCCTTATATTCAGACGAGGCAAGTGCTAAAATAACTTTGGTAGATGTAGCCATCTTGTTCCCGCCTCCGATTCTGCTTTTTCCGACTTGGTAGCTGAAACGCTGGTAACTCGTCATTTGTGACGTCATTTTCAGCTCGGACTTCTGACCTCCGAGGTAACTTGAACGCAGCATAATATTAGGTGACCCTGTGTAGCAGCTAGGGGCTGTAGTCGACCAAAAGAATTCTTGGTCGACTAAAACCCTTAGGGGGGCGGGGTGACTCTGACGGCGATGTTAAGTACCGTGGACGCTCTTCAGTCTTCCTGTTTCCAAAACACCCCCATTAGCACTTGGTACGTTCCCCCTGATGATATTAACCATAGACTGTAAATTGACGCGGAAAAAAATCGAGTAAGTCAACCAGTCGACGAGGACTTTACAGCCCCAGCACCAATGACTTCAAGATGAATGATTATAAGAGGTCGTCATAGTAACAGGCTGAAAGTCTCCCCTTTACAGGGTCCCTTATTTAACCAGAACACTGACATTCATCTGTACAGTACTTGACGTTGTTTTGTTGGAGAGCTAATGTGATACAAAAATAGATGCCAACACAAAGAGGAGCACCTCAATGTCTCTCCTGATTTCAAGTGACGTCACAGAAAGATAGCCACTGTGGGAATATAGTCTATTGTTTAGTCTCTCAATATACAGTTTGGTATCAAAGCTATACTGTCATCCAGCTCTCTTGTAAGTTCTCCTCTGATGGTTTGTTCCTGTTTTCAGTTTGTTCTGGCTTTCATTGTCAATGACGCCAGTGACAGAGAAACTGTGGTTCAATATCAGTGTGTTTTATTTGTCTGTGTTATGCAATGATGTTTATCAAAACAAAACAAGAAAATGAATATATGACGTAACGGTGATAACCACCACCTGCTGTATTATCATTGACTTTGTCATCACATGAATGTTACATTATGGGAAAATACTGTCTCAGGTGTGTAATCATTGTTTCCTGTTTGTGTGTACATTATGCAGAGAGTATCCAGTTTATTATGTGATGTAGAGTTTTCTCTTGCTTTCTCAGATGTCTGTCTTACTTAGTCTGACAGTCACTGGATACAGCCTCCACCCATTACAGAGTATACAGACCATAGTGTCCTTTTTTTGCTCACTCATATGCACATCCACTTACACACTCAAGGCTTGGAAAGTAGCAGCGCGCACACTCAAGTAGTTCGTGTTAGCAGGTTGGGTTACCCTGTTCTTCTGGATGACAGCAAATGACAGGAATTACCTTTTCTTTTTAACCTTTGAGCGCAGCGAGACCTGGGCACAGAGTTTAGTTTGGATTTCAGTCTCTGCAGCGTCTTTCTGTCCAAGTGTTCAGTGTGTAATGTCGAGGAAAATAGAGAGTAATTTCACACAGCAGTTTTGTTTCCAGTGATTTACATTTTGCTTCATCCTGTCTTATTTTCTTGACATTTAAATGACTTTTTTGCTGCTGTAGCAATCATTTTTTGATAAATGTATATATTAGAGGAAGGCTTTGACACATTCTTTGTACAATATTTAACAGATGAATGGATGGTTGACTCATCCAATCTATTTTACCCACCAAGGCCTGACGCACAAGGACTAAGATGTAAACTTAGTGTGGTGGAAACCGAAGAATCTGAGTATTGTTTGTTTGTGCATGCACCAGACCAAATGAGAAAAGTTTCATTTAACAACATCTTTGTGTGTTTGTGTGTGTGTGTTTGTATTTGTGACATACAGGAGTCTTCAAATCCATGAGGAAACAGGCGTCCCACACAGCTGCTGGTTGGAGGAGCAAAGGGAGCAGAAGGGGGGTGATGGGCTGGGGGGGCCTCTGAGATACTCGGACCCCTGCATCTTCTGGTTGCATGCAGACATGGACGGTGAGGACAGGGGGTTTTGTCTTTTTTTTTTTTTTTTAATCGTAACTATTTTATCAAAACAACAGAAATTGTAGCATTGTTATGGGCACTTAAGCGCAGCATGAAATTAGCGTTTCTGTTTGTGTTATTTTGCTGCTAAACTTAATATTTCCTCCTTTCCGCTCCCCTGCAGCTCTGGACAAGCGGCTGGATGCTCGTGTTGATGACATGTTGTCTGCTGGACTAATAAAGGAGCTCAGAGACTTCCATGTGCGCTACAACCAGCAGAAAGTCCAGGACGAAAGGTAGACAGGCAACAATAAAACCATAGACTGTATATAGAATGGGCGCTGTCTGCCTCCTCGCTGGGTGAAGCCACCCTGAGAACAGCACCCTCTGGTGACGGGCTGCAGTATAGGTCATAAATCCTGCCTCCTCCAGCAATCCCTATGGAGAAATTTATTACACAGAATATAAATTTTTCTTCCCCCTGGTCCTCTTTTTTCTGTACAGCTCCATTTTTAAAAGTTATTAGGGGGTTCATGTTTTCTATGATTGACACCTGATACAGCCTATGGGCGCACAAAGATTGCGTAGCTCACCCGAGGGATACGCTGTTTGGGCCGAGCATCATCACAGTGACTCTTGGCAACTCTCCCTCCGAATGAGTACAACGCTACTGCGCAGTGTTGGATTTCAGGAAGTGGAGAAAAATAGCGGAAATACCGAGAGCTTTTCGGCTTCAAATCCGTATACTGGCGGGAGGCGGAACCAAGTTGTCCATAGTATATACAGTCTATGAATAAAACATTTCCACAGTTCTAAACCTTTTAAATGATGAAACGATCATGCGCTATGATGTGCATCATCAAAAATCTAAAAGAACTGTACCATGGTTGATAGTTTTTATATAAAGCACATTTTGATAAGCCTTGTTAGCCTCATTAAAACCTCTAAAGGAGTTGTTTTCAAAGAGATTCAGTGATCTTGGTGAGAGCTAATAACACTCTGCTTTAACATCTATCGCACACAATATTGAATTATCCTCACTTCACACAGCCAAAAATGCTGCCCACACTTGGCACGCACTTCTGGCATTTCTTTTATAACCTATTTTTGAAACTACAATATCAAACATAACCACTGAGTAGATGTAGAGTGGGATGATAAGCTCATTATACGGGCCAGAGACATATGTTATTCTTGGATTTAGCCCTGTTGTCATTGCTGTCGAACATTATGAGGCACTCTTAGGGTTCAGAGTCTGTGCTACAAGTCAAAGATCACATCCTAATCCTCCTATCTAAATTAATGATCCAGACATCCAGTCTGGTGCAGACTCTACTCCTTTATTTTATCCAACCAAGGAAAGAGGAAAAAAAAAAAAAGTGAAGTGAACTCGGTCAAACAGCAGTCCAGTTATTTATTTCTCCTGCTCTGTCTGACAGGTCACTCTGTCCTGTACTCTGTCATTACCCAGAGGCCTGGAGACCAATTTAGATCCAGCCCACACAACTGTGAGTGAAGTTCAGATGGGACTGATATGTCTTTAGGATGTCCAGTGATTATTAATAATTGCAGTGATATGCCCTCCCTCAGAGGATATAAGCACTACCAGGGGAGCATGGTGATTGGTTGCTTATTAGCTCAGGGACTCAGACGCACTGGATGGATGTTCCCTGACCTCAGAACAAATACTTACTGTGTGGTGTTGTCTGTTAGAGATGCTATAATAAGATTAGGATTAACGTTTGACCTTTTATACCGTTATCAACTTTTCTCTGACATTTCTATAAGAACAACTACATTACTGTTTCCATGAGAAACACCACACCACCTTCCCACTCATCTCACTCCACTTGTTAATGACGTTTGATTCTACTCTCTCAAAATAAGCTTTACATGTTGCGTCTGCTGGGTAATGATAAATATAACCCAAAGACCAAATTTACATTAAAACCTTACCTTTATACGACAGTAATGTTGCAAGTTTTTAATCGTGTCGGGAAATAAGAATGAACGTGTAAACAGGCTCCACTAATAATAGCTGAAACAGATCCAGTCTGTGATCTCTGCTGTGGGCGTCTCTTGGCTGCAGATATTGGTGTTGTATGTGTGTGTGTTGGGGTGTGGCTGTGAGTGGTTGATGCATTGGTGGAGCCATGCCCAGGAAGCTGCCAATTCCCTTCTTTCCTCCCTCTCCTTTCTTTCATCACCCCATCACCCCATCCCACCTCATCTCTGCAGCCTCCACCTCCTTCCATCTCCCTCTCTCTCTCTCTCCGTCTCCCTCCATCTCTGCCACTATTGCCCTCTCAGCAATCTGATCACCCAAGCACTTTACCCCCCCTCCTTTTTCTGTCTGTCTGTCTGTCTCTCCTCTTCTCCTTGCGCCTCCATCCTCCTGCATGCTGCTGTGGCCAGACATCAAGGTCAAATCTCTCCCTCTGCCTCTCCCTCTCTCTCTCTCTCTTCCTCTGCCTTTCTTTTCTCTCCCTCTATTGACTCTACATTTCCTGTTCTCAGTCGCTACTCTCAAATTTCTGTCTCTAGCCAGTCTAGCCAAATTTATTTTAGTTATTTCCTATTCTTGTTTTGGCGACAAGTGTAATTCATGGATCAAATAATAGTTCTTATCTTTAATATTATGTTTTTTCTACATTGTGATAATAGGAAAAAAAAGTGCTCTACATAACAGATACAATTCACAGTAAGAGAAAACATAAACCAGAAAGATTGAATGTTTGTACAAAAGCAGGTTCAGGAAAGCGAGTTAAAAAGTAGGAACAAATAAAGAGAAAACCAATTTCCCTTTTACTTGTTCGCTGTAAAGACCTGAAGTCACATTCTGACTAAAAATAGTTCATTAAAACTCTGTGCTGCCAACAGAATGACTTTGTACCACCAGTGTTTTTTAAGGTCACACATTGGAAATAATTCAAGGAAATACTGCACCCTTACTATAAATCCTTTGTTTTTATATATCCTTATTAATAATGCTTAAAACTCATTCAGGATTTGTTCACAATCACAGTTAATTTACTTGCTTTGCTTCAGTTCTTCCCAGAGTTAAACTTGTATCTCTGCCCAAAGCTGCTGGTCTCGCCTGCCTCCTACAACTCTTCTGTGGTCCAGTTTTTTTTTTACAGTTTGGTACTAATTGCTGAGGCAAACCTTGATTGCATTTCGAAGCAATCAAGGTTTATGCTTTATGCTGAAAATGCGATGTTCAGACTCGCAAAAGTCCGAACTGTTCATCTTTTGGGTGACTTCCTTTGTTTTCCCATGACGCTTTTCATTTGAAGGCGAGTTTGTGACGTTTATTTGGTAAAAGAATTAAGTTAGACAGCTTTTATACAAGCCTAAGGCAAACTTTTGAACTTTATAAAGGAATGCAGGTGTTATATATGTTGCAATGGTTTGCCTTATCGGGAAACTATCTGGAATGAAGAGGGAGGAAAAGGGGGATCACAGAAGAAGAAAGGTTTCTTGTTACCTAATGTTATTTGATAAATAATACAACTTGGTTGCAGTTAACTTCATTCATGACAACTTTTTTTAGCAGCAAACCATACACAAAGCAGGTTTATAATTCATTATGGTACATAATTTTATAGATCAAATAGGAGACGTGTCCGGTATGATCTCCCCTTGTGCTTTTCTCTGATTGTAGTGGGTTGCAGTGTATCAAGCTTCACCATTTAGAGTTAGGTAATTACACTTGGTATTGATTATTTGGGTACCTTTCCCTACTTGTGCTGTTCATCCTCATCAGCATTTTAAGATGACATGATTATAACACAGCTCAGTTTTGAACACAGACTAGATAAAACATGGATGAAGTCTCAGTGTTGTCACTCTGAGACATTTTGAAGCCCAAAGATGAGATGGAGGGGTCACCTTATAGGAGAGGCTGACTCAACATAAGTTCAGAGTCGGCATCTCCCGAACCTTGACTCTTCAGGTAGAGTTAATCTGCTGGAAAATTGCAGTGGAAAAAATCACATAAAACTTTAAATTTACTTTGATCAGACGTGGTTATAAGTCTATGTGGAGAAAATGAATCTGAGTCCAGTTTCTAGATTTAAACACCAAGTAATAGTGAAGATATGAGCTCACAGTGTTCCTATTAAGACTTTTTCTTCAGTATTCAAGTAATCCAGCAGCTGTTGTTTTCATGGTGTGAACAGGACTGACAGGTGCCAATTCAACAAAGGGGAGTAGCTTAAAACGCAGAGGTATTTTAAACAGGATTGTTGAGGATTTTTTTCAGAGCAGGATTAAGCTTGACTGACCCCGCTCAGGCATTGTTGGACCCTATGATCCCATAGTCAGCATCCAGCACCTTAAAAGATGCAGAAAATAACAGCAGTAATTTTATAAGGTCCTCTTTCTAAGACTTTTGATATTGACATTTCCCTATGATGTTTACTTGACCTATCAAAAAGTAGCATTCTTGCCATATTGACAACAAGAAATCAGAATTGTGTATTTATCATGATCAGGTACTCAATTAGACATCAGTTAAGATATTTTAAGGGTTAAAAAAAAAAAAAACTTTCTCTCAGTTACAGAAAAAAAGCTAATTAATTCCCGGTTGAGGTAATTGAGGACAACCTGCAATCGTGAGGTGCTTTTAAAGGTACAGCACGTGCTAAAACAGACAGAAAAGCTCAGTTCAAGGTGACATCATCTGACACTGAGGGAAATGTCTACAGTCTTCTACCGGACCTCTAACCAGACCTGGTGCCACTCTATTCAGCACCCATGGGTCCCTTTTCCAGTACCATTCAGTATTGTGAATGTCACTCTGTCACTTTTTTCCCCTGAGGGCCTCACATCTGGTCTTTGTTCAGGAAAGTAAGGGGAGATAGAGGAGAAGCAGAAGGTGGAGTTGAGTCACCGCTGGGTGTCTGGAAATGTCAAGTCGAAGACAGAAACTTTTTTTTTCTTCTTCACAGATGGATAATGTTTCATTTCCTCTCTTCTCCTGACCCTCCTTTTACAGCCAGAACTATCAACACGGGATTTTTCAGTCGATTGGTTTTAAGGAGTTTCATGACTACCTGACTGCTCCTGAAAACAGCAGCCAGCAGGAGAAAGACACGCTACGAGACAAAGGTCAGAGAAAAAAACAGACCAAAGTCAAAGAAATGAATTGAGATTAAGTGGATAATGGACTGCTTGACTGATCAGCCAGAAGAATCTATTTTAAGTTTCTCTTCGGTCTACCTCTCACATATATCATCATCTTTTTTTCCAGGTATAGAAGCTTTGAAGATCGCTACAAGGCGCTACGCCCGCAAACAGAACAAATGGGTCCGAAATCGCTTCCTTAAAAGTGAGTGCCTCTCTCCTACCTTGCGCACCACATGCTTCTCCTTGTGTTTTTGTCTCATCACTCTCGTTCTTAAGTAACCTGCACTCTCTTTAACAAGATGAGATTCACGCGATAAGCCTCTCAGACCTCTTATGTGTTCGAGGTTACAGTGTGTTGAGTGAGTATTTCTGTGTCTGTGTGCCCATCAGAGTTTAGATGATGTTACTTAAAAACAGTCATTCAATTCTGTGTTTTATATTTTACTTTTTCATCTTAATGTAGCTTATTGGGTTGGCTTAGCTTGTTTTGGTTTATTATTCTGCATTTTTACATTCATTACTTGATTTTTAGACAGGATATATATCAACAGGTTCAGGCCAACCCATTCAAAGATTGTAGTTAAATTTTGTGCATATTTATACGGTCTAACACTTATCAGGACAACAAATAAATTGTGTTTGTGCTGATGTATTTACTTCACATCCAGGAAATGACATTTTCAAAAGGTCATGTTTTCTTGAAAACTCAACAGTGTGTCCAAACAAACATATCAAATGATTGTACTACCTATACAAATCGTAGAAACGTCCAAACTAATTCATTCATGCCTCCAAATTGGATTTGATTTTACGCAGTGTGTGTGTGCGGGCTGTCTGATCATAGAGGGGATAATGTTTCAAGATCGATCTGCAATATACACCTGTGGCTGAAACCTGTCAGTGATCGTTTTCCCGGCACCAAGTCCCTCGCCGCACCGGTTGCATAAGAATGATCATTAGTAGTTGCCTCTGGCACTGCAGTTAGAAAAATGCACCCACCACAGCCAAAATCAACCTGTGTTTGGCAGGTGATAATTTCCCACCCTGGTCGCAACTCTGGGAGTCAGACGTGTTTTTAAATATGTAAAAAGCCTCTGTGTATTTCTGTCTCGAATGGAAACCTGGTCTCTGAATCCCACCAGCAGCATGCCCTGTAGTAACCCAGCCTCCTAATCCTGTTAGGCCAAAGTGGCTTAGGCCACTCCGGGCCATAAACCTCAATGCCCCTCATTCTGACCGCCTGCCTACCCGCTGCATGCACCATATGGCCTCCATCACATGTGTGTTTTTGTGTTCCTTTTACATATGCAGGTTTCTGGCAGAAGTTGTTTATGCTTTTGCACATATGCACGTGTGCCTGTCTGAGTGTTTTTCTCAGGACGGATCATGTAACCTCCACTGATGACCTTACATAGACTCAAGTCAGACTGCAGCTGTCAGGAACATCAGGCTGGCAGTGCAGGAGGTGGCACATGAGAACAACTCCCTCTGAGGGGGATGGGGGGGTACTGAGAATGGGTTGCGGCCCCTAATTGCACCAAGATTTGCACATAATTCGCTCAGATTCAAGGTCTAGGTAAAAGTTTTACAGCCGTGTGCGGTTTGCTCCTGTTTGTGTTTCATTGTGGCTGAGATGAGCTGTAAGCATCTTTACACTTTGCTGTGAATGCAGAGCTGTGCCAGGAGTTCTTATCCTGGCTATATCTTAATTCTAGATTTAACTGTTGGCTTAGCGTTAGGGTTAGGGTTTGTGGCTGGTTTGTTGGCTCCGTAGAAGAGAAGTTTGAACATTCATCGTGCTGGTGGGCGTTCAGGTTTAAATGTGTTCAAGTATCTATGGGACAATGGAATATAATACAGGGAGTTGAGTTGAAGAAATGGATCAATGAGTTTGAAGGCATTTCAGCTGGGAAGAAAGTAGCGTTATGATTTTTTTCTTTGAGTAAGATTTTGATGTATTTGTATTGTATGTGGGGACGCTTGTTGGGGAAACAGAATAAATATGCCTTCAATTTTACAGGGTAATCCCACAGGAAAGCAGGCTTGAAATATTTAAATTACTAACCTTGTTCTGCCACATGAAAGTTGCATTATGTTGCAGCAAAAAAAAATCAATTCATCCTGGTTTCTCTTTCTTGTATTTATTTATTTATTTAGTTTTCGAAAGAGTCGTCTATTAACTGCAGACTGTTGTAGGACTGATGTCGATTTATTCAACTTTCACACTCGCAGAAAGAATTCCCCTGATCGTCCGTGTAACTAGGTGATTGAAAAGAGTTTATAGGCTTTGCTTCTTTGACTGCTGTTTCTTTTTGAGACTTCAGGTTTATCAAATCAGTGCATTTCATTGGCTTATTAAAATGTGTTGAATGTTTATCTTTCCTTTTAGAGGTCTTGAGTATGTTCAATTCTAAATAGCACATTTCAGGAACACAGTCCCTCATGTTAGTATCTACTCCAGCCGTTTTTAGTGCGTGAAGGACTTTTGTAGTATTCGCCTGCGGACAGTCTTGTCCTTGTATCCACCTTTTCTCCTAATGCAGAGTTTTACTCTTTCACCCTACTCAACCTACCTTTTCTGTCTGCATCGACTCAATTCACCTCGCTCACTCGCTGTGACTGCTGACCTCTTTTCTGTTTCGTCTGAGCCTCTTTCACACACACGCACAAACACACACACATATACACACACAAATGCCGACAGGCCTCAGCTGAGCAGGCTAATCTCTAAAAGCATTACAGAGCTGCCGGGAATTTGCCCCGACCACACAAACTCTGGCAGCAGGGTCACGGGGGGCTACGTAGACCAGCCCGAGCACAAAGAGGGACTAGTGGGTCAAAGGGAAAGAAAAACTGGAAATGGCAGAGGGCCTCGGCGAGACAGACACAATGGCGTTTTGTCGAGAAGCTGGAAAATAAGCCGAATGTTTACCGTGAATGTAAATGTACAGAAAAGCATAGAATCGCACGCCTCAAAGACACACGCTTGACCCAATTTTACGGTTCGCTTTGTTCATCAGAGGCTGTCAGCGGGGGAGCAGGTGGGCTATATGTCTTAAATACTCTTCAGCGGGATCCATGCTTCTTGATGGGCTCAACTTTGCTGTGGGGATTTAAACGGCAGGTCAACCAGTTCAAATTAAAGCAAGCTTAATTTGTCCTGCCCTAAACTGCGTCTGTACTGAGGTATGCGCCCATGCGATCCGTGTGTGCGTGCATGTGTGTGTGGTTATCAGGAGCGTTTAATTAGCAGATTTAATTACCCTTAGAGAAAGTGGTAATTTGAGGTGAGATTTTAATGAGTGGTACTTTTTGTGCGGCCTCTCAGTTTGTTGATAAAGACACAGTCACACACACACAGCATGTAACCAGGATACACAGGTGACGTTTGACAATGGCCCCATGAGTGTTAAGTAACAGGGATGTAGGTAGCTTTAAGTCCCTCAGGTGAGTGAGTGAGTGAGTGAGTGAGTGAGTGAGTGAGTGAGTGAGTGAGTGAGTGAGTGAGTGAGTGAGTGAGTGAGTGAGTGAGTGAGTGAGTGAGTGAGTGAGTGAGTGAGTGAGTGAGACGGAGTGAAAGACAGGGAGACGGAGTGAAAGACAGGGAGACGCAGTGAAAGACAGGGAGACAGGAGCGACACATGGGTGTATGGAGAGTGGAGGAAATCTGATCCAGGTGGGGCGACAGGTGTGGGGCGAGTTCACACCCTTGTCTGTTAGCTAGCGCTAAGGTTCATGTACACACAGGCACACACACATAAGTATAAGGTCCTTGTGTGGAGTTGAGCCAGGCTTGTTGTCGCTGCTAAGACCTCTGTCACCTTTGCTAGGTGAAGGGGGACGAGAGATCTCTTGAGGAGAGGAGATAAACACAGAGGGTTAAAAAGAGAAGCAGTACATGTCAGTCTAAATCTGTGGGATAAATTAAATAGCTTGATTGCTGTGAAGAAAGACCACAGCAGGTCATACAAGCAGACAGAGACACGTTTTTCTCTTAAAACTTCTATTATATGTGAACCTAACAGTCTTCAAAATTTTCTCAAACAGATTTAAACAAAACGATTTGAGGTCACTGAGAACCAAACACAAAATCATACTTTAACCTGTTTGAACTCTCAGAGGATTAATCACCGCATTTAGATCACTGCAACTTAAATCAGCAATGATAGGTTTTGTTTTTTTGGGGGTTTTTTTTTTCATGTGGGATTTGAACGAAACAATGATATGCAAAGCAGAGTTTATTATGTGGAAGTAAAAAATAATGAGTTGCATCACCTCTTTATTTTCCCAAAATCTTTTAAATTTCATAATGTGTGCAACAGCCACCACAATAATATAAAAAAATAATAACACCCCCCAAAAAAACAACAACAAAAAGTACAGTCCGCATCTTCTTATCATTCCCCTCAATATTATATAAACAATTCAGACAAATGTCAACAGCAGAGTAATAAAGAAGTTTTTATTAAAGTTTTTATTAAATGAAGTATCAAAAATCTGGCATATCATTTAGCGAATAAAGGTGATACTAAAAAGTCAAATTCCAAAAATTTTTCAACAAATAACTATTAAAAGATAAAGCATAAATATTTCCTCTTCAGTTTTACATCCAAGACAGTTAAGTGAGCTGACTTTAAAAAATGTTAAGTGTCTTAAATAGAGTTAAGGAATGTTTTTTTTTTTAACTAAACAGAATGGTATTAACATTGAATTGTTTTTTAGACTAGTTCAAAAGCTTATTGACCACAATAAATGATCAATTTGACTCTCAGAACACAGACTGATGAGATTCTCTGTCAAAAGACACTATTTTGGCAGTAGAGGACAATATAAGAATCACTTCATCCACAGGGGGTGCCAAACATGATTCAGACCAGAAATTCCTTACAGGAGCTTTAAATCAAGTACCAGGTATTTTTTTTACCAGGTATTTCCATTTGAAGTTATTCTGTCTTTTTTTTGCCAAATGTACAGTAAAGTTACCTGAATTAAACTACATGACCTCTCACTGACATGCTCAACATAAACAATACAAAGAGGTAAAGGAGACAAAAAGCGGAAGAGGAACTACAGTAAAGGGTTATGTCTTTTTTTTGCCAGATTACAGTAAAGTTACCTGAATTAAACTACGTCACGTCATGGACATGTATAGGAGACAAAAAGCGGAAGAGGAACTATAGTAAAGAGGAAGGAGTCTGTTGAGGGAGTAGATGCAGCTGTCCCAGCATGGACGACAGCCAAAGAAGCACAGCTGGGCCGGGGGGAATGCCTCGCTTAGACTTGTAGTGGAGTTTTTATAGCAGAGCACACACAGGCGCACTTCCTCACTCAGCAAACACGGTGATAATGCAGCATATGACTGCTGGCCTGCTTGTTGCAACAGGTGGACTACTGTTGCAAAACACACTCACACACACACGCACACATTAACACAACACTGGCAGGCAGCTGCTGGGCGACAAGAGATGTTCTTTCTTGTTGGCAAAGCGATCTCCCCTTGTGTGCTTGAAAGGCAACGCTCACAGTTGTGGTGTGTGCGTGTGTGTTTGTGTGTTTCTACTGACCACCCTGCTCTTTGTCCCCGCAGCGTGTCTTATCAACTCTCATTCACTACAGAGTGGATTAGCAGAGTTAAATTTCACTGGAGCCTAAACAACTTTGCTTGAGGGGTTGTTTCCGTCCAGCATCTGGCAACCCACTTCACACTATCTCCCTATTATTTACCCCACTCCACTCGGCCAACAGGGAGGTTTGGGACTTAGGTAAAGGAGGCAGTGGTGTTGATTCAGGAACAAAGTAGGGAGATAACATCGGCAGGAGGGTGGCTGGTGAAGTATTTATAAGAGTGCTGAAGACAGAGGGCTCCAACTGCGCATATGGCATGGGTATGCCAGGTGACACTTGCACCACCTGCCTGGTATTGTGCCACACACAAAAAAGTCCCCTCTGACACACACGCACACTTACACAGTCAACCCAGTGAAACCCGAGGCTTTGATTAACACTGAATGCTATTTTCAAAAAACACATCCTAACAAATCCATTGACCCACTATCTGACTACGTAAACAAACAAGCCCAGCGGGGGGGGTTTTGGAGCCGGGATGAAAAAGAAACAGCACACACTCAGAGGCCAAGAGCTGCAGGTGCAGAAGTGGTCAGATGCTGCCATAAAGGAGCTTTGTGTTTACTTTGCTTTTGTGCCTTTTGTCAGGTTTTTGAATTAATCAAACAGGGGCTGTTATAGCGTGCCTGCACTGCAAGATGAGTTCATCACATGGTTAAGTAAGTCACTGCTGGTACAATGACATGCAAATTAAGTCCATAAGGAGTTAAAAAGTGGCATGGGACAAGAATCGGGCCACGTTTAAGTTTATGGCTCTCAAGCGAGTCTGCGTAGAGACTCTCATTGTTTCCGTACACACACTCGCTCATTCCTCTGACAGAGCCAAAACAGTTTGTTGTCGAGATAATCAGATGATACAGTTACCACTGTGTGTTCCTCTATAATAACAGAGTCCCAGACAGTTCCCATTAGAGTTGGTAATCCAAGTCTATAGTGCGTCTGCTGCAGTCAGCTCCACAGCTCAGTCTAAGTGTGCAGAGGATTAAGACATAATTGAGTTGACTGGCTGTGCCTTACAGGTTAATTAGGTCCATTTACATAAGTGTGTGCTTGCATCACAAACTGATATTTGATTAAAAATATATCTGGATAGATCCAGATTTGTGGCCATGCAGACAGTCTACCAGCCTTACAACAAAATTTTGCCTTACCCAGAGGATACAGCCTCTGACTGTTTGATACCTTTCTTTTTCTCCAGTTGTATCATCGGGCCAAATATTTGATATCTGTGAAAGTGGTTGATGCTAAATGGTTATTATTTTTTACAGACTGAACTAATATTGCAAAACTGGCACTTGTGATTCCTCCTAAACCTCCTAATATTTTTGTTGTGATTCCAACACGTCTGTCCTGCTCAAAAACCACTAAACACTACCTCCTGTACCTTTGGATATATGATCAGCCTCACCTTGTGGTCAGACAGCTCATTCCACTTTTTGATCTCAGTCGTCAAAGTTCATTGCTCACTGTATTAGATTAACTTTTGGATTGTAAACTGCCGTTAACAGCTCAGGATGAAATTAGCTTTTGTTGTTTTTTTTTTACCTTAAAGGTGGGGTAGGTAGGATCTGAGGAAGTGCCAGTTTTTGGGAGAAATCTTGAATGTAAACTCTACCCCCCCAACCAGTTTTCCCCTCAGCTCCTCCTCTCCCCTCCCTCTCTGCTCCAGCAAGTTCCGCCCACAAACAGACACTCGTTCCAATTAAATTCTGATATAATGCAGATAAATACTTCAGATAATTACAAATGGGGCCCAGCCAACGTAAAAGTTAAAAGCATTGGTGCTACTGTAGATGCCAACAGACTACCAGCAAACACAATGTTTGCAGGACTTTTAAAACTAGGATAAAGTGAAATACTCTAGAACCCGAGGTAAACGGTTAAGCGGCGCTACAACATGCAGCAGGTCCCGTTTGACAAGAAACACTTCTGTTACAGATACTTGGCTTACTTTGTTAAAGCGGTTTACCTGTCCAGCAGAAAGGTTACAGGGTCTGGAAGATCCCGAAGCGTTCACTGATATTGACTCCGCTTTGTAGCTTTTGTCTGGTCTACCTCCTTTTTAAGTGCCTGTTATACCGCCAGAGTCTCCGGTATTTACTTTGTGTTCTTGCTTGTGTCGGCAGTCGTGGCCAAAGGAGGATTCAGACAATTTTCTGAACTTTCTGGTTGGTTTCTACTGTCACAACCAATCAGGTTAGTGGAGGCGGAGAATGGCTTTATTTACTGTCAGAAAGAGCGGGCCGCTCAAAAATTTTAAAATGTTGACTACACAGACATAACAGAACACAGCGATATCATTATATTCCCAAATGTCATCCACAACTAATAGCTATTGACTGATATTAAAAGCTTTTTTGTATATACATAAAAAAAGATGCTTCTTTAATGGATTTCTGCCTACTCCACCTTTAACTTCCTCAAGGTTTCCTTCTTCTTTAAATCAAATCTGCTCATTTTCCTGATGAAAACTATCAAAGACAAAGAAGAATCAGCATCTGATACCTCATATAACCCCACTTGCACAGTTTGACAGCTTGCATAGTAAAACCTTTAAACCAGAGTAAAGCAGCTAAAATCATGTTAGATCATGTTTTTTTCCCCCTTAAAAATATGTTGCCTCTTTGCACTTTTATAATGTGCCATAATTTCCGCTGATTAAATCTTCTGTTGTTACTCTTCAGCTGTTTTAGGAGCTGCATTCATTAAGATGAACATTTTCACTTTGCCATTTTTCAAGTCATATAAGAGCGTCACACACCTGCATTTCCTGTGCTTCTGTGCATCTCGAATCAGTGCAGCGCAGTGGTCCTTTATACAGACAAGCAGACAGATACATAGACAGACATGCAGATACACAGACAGACAAACAGGGCAGGGACTGGTGCTGCTGTTTAGTGCTGAGGCCTGGCCTGGAGACTGCTGACTGATGCAAAATAGAAACATGGGGGTGGAACAGTTACAGGGAGGGAGAGAAAGAGAGAGAACGAGCGAGAGATAGAGTGAGTGAAAGCTGAAGCGAGACTGATGGCAAGAGAGAGACGATGCAGAAGAGAGAAAAGAGTGGGAGGAAGGAGGGATAGAGGAAGAGACATTATCGAGCCAGTGTGAGTCAGCAGGTTGACGGAGCTCCAGGGTGCGGCTCCAGTACATCACTACTACTGTAAATTTCCCAGTTTCATCATGAAGCCTGCAATTCTGTGATAAATATCAATTACTGTAGAGCACTTTTTTTTTTCTTTTTTAGATGAAAAGTAATTAGCATCATAGTGCGATATTGAAGTGATCACACCCTAAAAGGAGCTGGCAATTTCTATCAGTGTCAATCTCTCTGATTTGATGGATGATGAGCTCTTGGAGAGTAAATTTATCAGGCTATGAGATAATATCAGCTCAAGTGCATTATAAAGAAGTGAAATGTAGGGAGCTTTACTGCAAGTCCAATAAAATTAAGATGGAAACACTAAATCAAAATATGGGCTCTCCAAGGCTTTTATTACATTTATTAGCATCCTTTGTGTGCCTGTAAAGTATTAAATGAGCACTAACTGTGTGTGCTTGACCTGTGTGTGTATGTGTGTGTGTGTAGGACCAGGAGACAACGTGCCAGTGGTGTATGGCCTGGATGTGACGGACGTGTCGCGGTGGGAGGAGACGGTGCTGAACCCTGCACTGCAGATACTGGATAGCCTTAGGAAGGTGGGGCCTCGGTGATCTGAACCAGCTGCTTTCAGTCACCATTTCCATCTGCTGTTGAGATGAGATGTCATTTACTTCTACATTAACCACCTTTTGTTCCTGTGGTCTTATTTCATTTCATTTTGGTCTTTCAATATTTTCTCTTCTCTCCATTTTCCGTCTCTTGCCTCTTATTCCACCTCTTCTTCCCTTTTTTCCTACATCTTGGATTAATCCTCCCCGTGTTTGTGTGTTGACTTACAATTTTCCATTCTCTATTCTTACTGTAATCTCTCTTTTTTATAAATTTCTCTCCTTCACTACTCTCTTTTCTTTCTATTTCCACTTTTTTTTATTCATATCCTCTCATTCTGCCACACTCAAAACCTTCTTCTATTTAGTGGCGTCATTCCTTCCTGGTGTCCTTATCTCACCTGCCTTTGGCCTCGGTTCATTTTGTGTTTGTATCCTGTTCTATTGAAACACTCAAAGGTTGTTTTTTTCTTTCTCACACTCCACTGAGTCCTTTCTGGTTGATTTTTAACTCCTTGTATATATATATATATTTTTTTTGAATGAATTTCTGTCTTTTGTGTGAATTGTGTGGGTGGGGAAGTGTGTGTCAGTCACACTCTGCTGATTGGCAGGTTATGGCAGTATTGTACCAAACAAATCAGTGCAAGGGCAGCGATGAAGAAAAGAGAAAGCAAAGAATTTGACAAAAGCAGGCTTTGAAATACTGCTTATATCCTCATTTCAAATCTGTTGAATCTTTGGTTGTTGCACCTAGTGGTGTGCGAATGGGGATTAATCCATAACAAATTGGCTCTACACGTTGCAGCCTTTGCCATCAGTATCAATCAATCACTCTTTTATAACGCCCCAATTCACAACAAGTGTTATCTCAAAGACACTTTAAAAAAAGCTGGTCTAGATCATCCCCTATGTACAAAGACCCAGTGTAAAGATGGGATCAGACGATAGACGGGTTTCTTGGCAACGTCTTGGCAACAGGTATGCACATGCAGCCAGGGGGCAGAAAGCAGGATATTTCCTATTTGTTTACTTACGGAGTCAACGGCGAAAGAAAATGACAAGGAGTTGTTTTGCTGTAAACAAACAATCGGCAAACTTTACAACCCTGCTCCTGATACTAGAAACATCTAAAACAACGTCACAACCTGGTAAACTGAGTGAAATTCACTGACTATTTCAGCAAGTGTTTTTCTGATTTTGATGCAATGAAAGACAAAGCGATTTTTCAATGAAATGACATTTCATTGCAATTGTGTCAGGGAGAACTTGCAAACAATACGGCATCTTCATTGGTATCAGTTCACTCCGAAACAGGATTTTGCCCCCTGGTTGCGCGCGCACCTAGTATTGTTTGTACACAAGAAACCTGTCTATAACATGACTGTATGGAGTTTAATTAGTGAGGGATGAGATGCTGCAGGGAAAGCAACAGGTAAACAAAACAAAGCACAATGATTGTCCAAAGTTTGAGCTATGTTGTCTGATATTTGTGTACATCACTCTTTCTGTGAGAGAGGATTAGGGCCACATGAAGAAAAAAAAAAAATACTGGAAGGAGATTAAAGTCAAAATTTTGAGATTAAAGTCGAAATTTCAAAATTTAAAAATCAAAATAATGTTCATAAAATCAAAATTTCTTGATGAAAAATTGAAATTTTTATAATAAAGTTGAATTTTCCAGATTTTGAAATGTCATGAATCATGTCGAAATTTCTAGATTAAAATTATAAAAATTTTGAGATTAAAGTTGAAATTTCGAGATTAAAGTCGACATGAATAAAATCAAAATTTCGGCTTTAATCTTGAAGTAGAAATTTAAAAAATGTAATAATTGTTTCTCTTCATGGGGCCCTAATCCTCTTTCTGACATTTTCAGTCCTTCTCCTTGAAACCTTTTTTTAAGGTCTCTGTCTTCCCTTAACTTTTTCTTCTTCCTCCCTTGCCACTAAAAAGTCACCCAAACTCTTATCATATTTCTGTACAAACCACGTTACACCTAAAAACTAAATAATTCATCTGACATTTACACTAATTATAATCTAAGCAAAGACGAAAACATGGTTTGAAAGATTTTAAGTGCCATTTTTTTAGAGTTTAAAAGAGAAATGTTAAAGTTAAAAGCGAATAGCTAAATAAGAGCCATCACGTAAATGCCCTGTTTCTTTGTTGTCTTGATAATCAATGGCTTGTCGAATGTTGTTTGTCGTTTCCGTCTTGTTGCATGATCCCTCTTGTTGGTCTTACTTACCTAACCCTGAAAGTAGAAAATATCTTTCTCAATCAATCAGGGGGAGGAGCCAGCTGTCGCACCAATCAGAGTCCAGGACACAGTGCAGAGGAACAAACGCAGCCACCATTCATGTGATCTGTGTGATAAAGTGATCATCGGAGATCTGGAGTGGGCAGGTAGGGAGCCTGCAGGCTGTGTCACTGTCAAAACATCAGTCTACAAATGTCTTTTAAATGAAACCGTGTGATGTTCTCTATTTATTTCCTTTATGTAGCTCACCTCAAGTCTAAAAAGCATCATTATCATGTGAGGAAGAAGAGGAAGTCTGACCCACCATCTGACCAGTCCCATGTTACCCCTGCACCTTCTGACTGTACTGCAGAAACCTCAAAGAGCCCCTCGAAGGACTCTTGATGACTGTCCCTCTCTCTTAGGAGTCAACCCAGGACACCAGGACTATATAGCACGAGGTACCTGGGACTATTTAAGAGTCACCCAGACTCTGGACTACACTCATCATGTTGTTTTATCATCACTCGGCTCTTACAGCTGGATGTTTCCTTGTAGGGATGCTTTTTGGAGCTCTAGTTTCTCCTGCCTTCTGCTGCTCAGTCGTCATCTTTAAAACTTTCTCTTTTAAACCGTAATGAAGACTTTTACCAGCAGCCCCATAGAGGAACTAATAAACCTGATCCTTCTTCAATGTGAAAACTTGAATTCAGAGATGATATTTGAATGTAAAGTACAGCAAAGTTATCTTTAACTTGATTCATTCTTGTTCTAGAGTACAGGGTCTTGTCAGTGAAGAGTAGAGGTGTTGATAAAGCCAATCAGAAGTTGTGGACTTTTAAGAAAAACTTAAAAAGGATTTCAGTCGAGGAAGATCTTGCAACCTCCTATGGAGTCATTCAGATTATACAAGAGAAGAGGATTTTATTCATTTTTGCTAAATGTGTTTTAAATGAAGCGCCCTTTGATGCTCTCAACCACAAAATCTTCCAGTTCAGACATGCAAGCGTATCTGGTTGTAGTTTAATATCCTTTCTTGTAGCTTTGCAGAGGAAAAAAAGAGAAGGTAAGTTTGCACACTTCGGTCAATGCCCCAGAAAAGTTGTGAATTACAAGCTTCTCTATAACTTTGACACTTTGCACTTTTTATACTTGCTTTATTTGATTATGAGCATTTTCAATAAAACCAAAAACCTCAAAGTTTCTCATAGGAGGAGGATGTTTCCTGTGTCACTGGTGCAGAAAAAACAAATCGATAGATTGTCGTGGCGTCTTTGTTTTTCTTAATCTCAGTCAGATCTTACTGGCACACTGACATGCATTGTGCTTTGTTTGCCTCCTGCCATCCTCTTTCACTGTCCTTAAATACCTTTTCAAGCGCTTTGTTTGATCATGACACACCACTTGATTTATGCTGTTGTCTTTTGATGGCGCTTAGCTGAGTTCAAACCCTCGATTCATGCTGTGAGAGGAGAGTGTGTTTTCACCGCAGTGATTGCAGGTCTTTGTTTATCCAGCGGTGTGTCGTACCCCTTTCAAATCAAGGTGCGCCTTCTTGCTGTAAAACCACTTACACAATACCTGGCATTGCTCCAAACACCTCTCCTTCCTTTTCCTTCACCTCACCTGACGCGTTTTCTCCTCACAATCACAACTTCCCTCCGACACCGCAAACCTCGTCAGCTTTCAAATCGGACAATTGTTCTACTCCCGGCAAACACTTGATCATCTCTTTCTTTAAGCCGTCACTCCGAGGCTGAGACGTTTTCTTTTAACAGAGGGTTTAGTTCACAGGCTCCCAGTGTTTGACCTCATCCACATGACTAAAAATATTTCCAAGCGTATAATAGCTGGAAATGTGTGTGTATGTGTGTGTGTGTGTTAGTGTGTTCCACATTCTCTCTTTCCAAACTGGGTCAGGCCTCAAGCTTACTTGGGGCTTACCATACAGTGTGAGAGATATCAGAGGTCACTGTGCAACTGGTGTCTGGTTTTCATAACCCTTCTGTGTACGACTGATTTGTTTTTCTTTCCTTCTGTTGTACTTTTTTTAGTCAGACTAGCAAGAATGCTATGGTTTCTCCCCCCCCTTGGTAACTTCTTATCATGTCTATCATCTCTGTAATTAACCCAAAACAATTACATTATCATCAGGCATTTGATACACTTTATCTCAGGAGACTTCATGTGTGGTATGTTCTTATCTTGAGCTCCTGAGCATATCTATCCCAGCACCTCCAGGCACCGCTGAATCATTTTTGCATAAAAAGAGAAAGGCTTGTGCAATTCAGTGACATAAAGCTTCAGCCCCTTGAACTACAAATACACACACTCTTAGAAATGGAGAACTAGGGCAGCGTCCGCGGTCACAAGGCTAATTAGTGATTTACGCACCACAATGCCATGGATCATCTATGCGCACACACGCATGAGCATGCACTGAGTAACCTCATTAGCTGCAGACAGCAAGGACACAGAACAAAAAAAGAACAAAATTCACATCACAAAAGAGTTTTTAAATTGTGAATCTGTACACACTGCCTTAAATAAGACCCTCGAAAAGGGTCTTTCTGCTTTCTTCCCTAAGGACTGCTACTACTTTGGCAGGCTTTGAGCTTTTCTGTGTTTACATGTAAGCTTTATCGGTCAGTGAGCCAAATAATTATTCACCCAGTTTGAGTACTCCGTGTCTGTCTCTTCCTCTCAATCCTGTCCTGCCCTATAGCAGCACAGTAGCTGTGTATGTTCACAGAGCACACACTGTCCTATACAGGAGGCCCTCTATGGGGGAGCTGCAGGCTTGCTTATGTAACACGCGCTGCAGCTTATACTGTGGATGCATGTCGTCTGTGACTGGTGTGTTTTGCTGTGTAGTTTTAGGATTAACACTGGCTTTATATGCATGTGCTGCAGCCGCTCTTTGCTGAAAATCAATACTTTGGACAAGATATGAGTTTTTCTGTGCAGCATCCGGTCATTGACTGTGAATCAGCTGCTCTCGTGATGGGGATGTGAAAGTGATGTCTGGGTGATGAATCGCTGGAGGGGTTAGTCAACAAACTATCAAAACATTTTTACAACAAATGAAATGTTAAGCTAATTTTTCAAGAAATTTGCCATACACATATTGGATAACACATGGATAAAATCATGTTATTCTTTTTTTTTAAGGGTGTTAGGAAACCCATATTGAAATGGGTTTCCTATTCTGTCTCAACCTAACTTTGATCATTCTGATCTCAAGTAAAGAGGTACACTAGGACAGGCCTAGTTGTGTCCTTCGTAATGCGAGTTTATGCGCTTACATACAATTACAGCGGATGAGTTATAAAATAAAATTCTACTGATGAAAAAAATAAACTTATCTGCTGTATAGTTGTGGCAAATAAGAAAATGAACTCTTGATCAAAACGTTCTTTTGTGTTCAGTCTGACTTACATCAATGTTGGCGAACTGGCAAAAAATATATTTTTTTATACTTAAACATTAAAGTAAGACATCATGTCTATCAAACAGGTAGTCCTGATATGGTGAGTGAAACCCTAATGTGAAACAAAAGTGTTTGGCTCACCCTGAAGGGAGACTTTGGTGGTTGAAGTTATGTAATAGTGATCAGCTCTGCTGCTGTTGCCTGGATTGCAGGACAGGATCTTGCTCCCCTCTTAATGACTGATGGGGCCCACTTGCTGCTCAGGCTGAACTTGCACCTTTGGCCAGTAACTCTTGTTATTCCCTTTTCTCCTATATGCTAGATGCTCGACTCCCTTTGTAGTTTGCTTTAATCAGATTTTCCATCGTGTCACTATCCCTGTTGAGAATGTGTTACCACTGTTAGGAGGTTTAGACATAGAAGAGCCAAATAACACCAAGGTACAACTTAAGTGAGGTTGTTGAATCTTCTAAAGCAATATTGTTTTACATAAAGAAAGGGGTTTATTTGTTCTTTTTTAAGATATAGATAAGAAGAAACAAACCACTGTTGTTGTAAAATGTGATTATCTAATGATAAATGTGGAGGTACAGCTGGCAGTGTTTAACTAAGGAGACAAGAAGCCAAACAACTAGCTTCATGACATCAAAACATTACAAAAACAGCCAACTAACACTTAAAATCAACACAGTTGTGTAATTAGCAGAAAAACTGAAGAGTAAAATTAGCATTTTACTGACGGGAAAAAAATGCCAGCTGCTCTTCCTATGATTTCACTGAATGCTGAGCTGATGAGCTGTTTTATATCAAGTGTATACAGTATACAGTTCTGCATCCATCCCATTACCATTTTCTCGTCCCCTCTTAGCGAGATGGAGAAATGTGTGGTCAAAGTTTTGGCTTTTTGGACATCCAAACACGGCCAGTTTTCTGTGAAAAAATCTGAGCCATCATCTCTCTGTTGCACAACCTTGAGTCCGTCAGACTCAACTTTTATGTTTTGTTTTGTTTTTTGTCCTGTTGGGTTGTTCATGATGCTAAACAGAAAGCATTGTTATCTTTTCAGGTCCTTTCCAAACACACACAACTCTGTTGTAGTAGTGTGTCATGTAGTGACTGTGCGTCTAGGTAATTTGAAGTCCACTTAATCCTAATCTCTAATCCCATTGGACTAAACATTCTCTGCCATCTGGCTCTGGCGAGACAAGAAAACACACTCGCACGCACCTACACACCGGCAGACAGACATGCGAGTGGCTAATCAGATGGAGCAGCAGCTGCAGACGGAGACACTGTTGACTTGACTACGAGGATGAACCTTTTATTTATGAGAAATATCCACTTGTCTACTGAGGAGTGAAAGCGTGTTTGTAGATAACAACAGAAGGCCAAGTCGTTGGCATAGCAGAATATTAGACACCACAGAGCGCTACAATCTCAGAGAAGAGAGATGAAGAATGTGAAGGACTTTGTTGAGAATGTGAAACCTTTCTCTGTTTCAGTAAGCAAAAGCATGAAGCGTGGCAAAAGGTCAGATATCTGCCCGCCAGCTATTATGTGCGTCTGTTTTATTTTTTTCTTTATCATGAGTGCAGAGAATAGAGCGTGTCCTCATGTATCCTTTAACAATATTTTCAAACTACAGTCTTTGAATGAATGATATGCGTGCCCTTGTGTGCGCAGACTTCCTCAAGTTCAGGGTCATTGTTTTGGTGAGTGAGGAGAGGACAAAGACAACTTAAAATTTAAAACTTAGGTGTTGCATAACCAAGTGAGAAACACAACACCCTAAGGTGTGACTCAATCAGGTAGGAGAAGTATTGTTTTTTCTGTGTGCACTTTAGAGGTAAGCCTTTTTAGGATGTTTTATTACAGCCATCAGATAAACACACACCATCACTCCCTAACCATTCTTATCATGCAAGTCATAGATGTGCATTTTTGTCACTATAGACTATTGCAGGGGTTGCACAAA